TTGGAATATGCTTTTTAGCTGGAAGTTATAATACTGTAGGATTTGAATCCTGAAGTTTCCTTCCTGGTTTGCATGAAGTTAACAGTTTGAGCAGTGACATCTGCCATAAAAGGGGACAGTCAGAAGTAATTATACTGAGCAGGTCCTGATCCCGGAACCTGGTTTCTCTTTAAGCACTTCTAGATTGTACTGTTTGACTTCCAACCTCCGTGTCTTCACTTTTTATTTAAAATCAGTTATTACTTTAATAAAGAAGAAACTACTTTTTCTTACATATGACTACTACAGTGAGGAACAGAGATTTTTGGCTGTGTTTAAATCAAAGGTCTAGGCAGAAGATGACAATTTAGGGAAAAGCTGATGATTAGCTTTTAGAATTGGGAATGCTAGCTTGTTTTGTAAATCTGTGCTCCTTCCTTTCCAAATTAGCTGAGGGCATGACACTTATCTTCAGACCTGAAGTTGCTAAAATCCAGTTATTTCTCAGCTTTCAAACTCCTGAGCAGCTTTCCTACACTTAACTTTGCTTTGTTCTTGATGAGCTTTATGGGTCATGCTTGATCGGTCAACCCTGCAATTGAAACTAAATTCTGGTTTGTTTATTCTCCTGTGTGACCAGTAGGTGCCAATAACAGTATTTCAAACTGTTAAATAGAGGTGGCAAGGTGAACAAAGCCACATCATATGTTATCTAAGCGTTCTATTTTTCTCAGTGTTAATGTAGCATGAAGTCAGATCTTATCAAAGGAGAGTTCAAGTCACCTGGTCAACTATTCCTGTGACACTGCAAATGCTTGAGTGTGGCAATGTTGAGACCCTGATAGTTGGTGTCCATCAGGGTCTGCTGGGAGTTGCCTGTTACCACATGCCTGCATCTGTAAACTTGGGGTTTAGACTTTGTGGCTTTGTGGTTTTTTTTCTTGGATGGTAAAAGCTTGAGAAAAGCACTTGGGTTTTGTATGCCAAGCCCTGCTTTGTGGAGTCTACATCCAGAGCCTCTTGGATACTGTGGCGTGATGGTAGTGGGGGAGAAAACATCCAACAGGATCTGCACCTTGCAAAGGATTTTTGTGGCACGTTGGATGTTTGGGAGGCCCTCAGGAACCTTGAAAATGTGTCTGGAAGCATCGTTGGTTTGCTCTAGTGCAGTTTCTTGCCCAGATGCTTTTCTTGAGCCTGCAATAAAGTAGATCTCCAGCTAGATAAAGTGATGGGATTTGCTTGTAACCCCTGCTTCTCTCATTCTGCTGCCAGACAGGTTCAGATGAAGTCAGAGTAAATTGTTTAAGCTAGGGGTGTAAATCAAGCAAATTATAATCAGGTTAAACACACTGGTCAGTTGGATTTTTGGAATAAAACCAAACAAAACCAAGACCAGAATCCTTCTATAGAGCAGAGTGGCACACAGATTACTTTTATTGAGGGATTAGAGCTGTGCCCTCAGCTTCTATCTCTCTTTTCCAGGTTGTGTGATAAATACAACTCTGACTTAAGTGTATGTCACAGTGGAGGGTAGGGGCTCAAATACTGCAGCTCAGGACTAACAGAACTCTTGAAAACAGCCTCCTGCCTTTTCAGGTTTTGTAGGAGGTGGGGGGATGGATATCTGTGAAGACGCTTTACTCTGTCCTTTTATGTCTGAGAACAGCCTGATGCCCAGAGCATGGAGCATGTGGGCAGAGGGCCTAAAATACTTCCAAAGAAGAAAGATGCTCCTCCCAGGAAGTTGCAACTACACAGTTTTCAAGACTGAACTAAGCAGCTTTCACTGTAATGAAGCTCACTTAGATTAAAAACAAAAACCAAGAAAGGTTTTCTGTCTTCAGCTGGAAAGGGAAGAGCACACCCCCTGACATCTCACTACACTCTCCTGTTGAAATCTAGTTCAACATACAACAGCAATTTCTCCCTGGAGTTACAGACAGTAATTTGCAGGAGATGCACCCTAGGAGGGAAAGAACTGTTTGTGGCTTACTAAAGGGAGGTGCAACCATGAAATGACAGAGCAGCTGCTGCCTAGCAGCCTTCTTACTGCCCAGGAAGCTTTGAGACTTCGTGTGGGAGGCAGGGTAGAGGTACGCTTGGTGACCCACCACTGAAGGATATATAGGGAGTGCTGCATTACCATGATATGTGGTCTTTCCTGGCTGAGTGACCAAACAAGCTTAGCTTTTACCTTTGTGACATTCAATGGCCAGGAGGCTCTACTCTACGTTAGTGGTTTGTTGGCATCCCGGTCTGTTGAATGCAGTAGGTGCCTGGGCTTTCAGCCTAGAAATAAGGCTTGAGAAGTCTTAGCTATATGTACCCTCTGCCTTTCCTTGTTTACCCTTCCAGAACAAAGGTAAGGCAACCCATCCTTGGCCTGACAAAGTTGGATTCATGCAGTTTATCTCCTTTGTTCAATCCCTGCCACCATCTAGCCAGGACAGAGCCTGTTCGGTGGAGTAGACGGTGTCTCATATTCCTGATGTGATGTCACCTCATTTGCTGCTAGGACTTAGGATAGACCCTGAGCTACAGACAACACCAGAATTATTATGGTGCTGGTTTGGGTGTTGGTCTCTTCTCTGAGTAACGAGCGATAGAACAAGAGGAAATGGCCTCAAGTTGGGCCAGGGTAGGTTTGGATTGGGTAGGAAAAAGTCTTCACTGAAAGGGTTGTCAGGCACTGGATCAGGCTGCCCAGGGAAGTGGTTGAATCACCATCCCTGGAGGTGTTTAAAAGAATTGTGGATGTGGTGCTTCTGAACATGGTTATGCAGTGGACTTGGTGTTGCTGGATTAACAGTTGGACTTGATGATCTTGAAGGTCTTTTCCAAGCAAAACAATTCTATGATTCTGTGAGTTTTGCCTTTGATCAGTGCAGCAGAGGGTATGTGGTGAAAATGCAGGGATGCTTCAGGCAAATTTTAAGTCTCTTTGTTGCTGTGACAGTTCACATGCAGCTTGAGACTTTTCTGTTTACAATTGGCTCTGGTCCATGCTGCTTTTAGTCCCCCAGGACTTTGAACTTCTGTCTGTGCAACTCCAAAGAAAATGATGGAAAAAACCTTGTTTTATCTGAAGGTTGTTAGTCAATTAGGCTGCAAGGGGAATACATTCAGGCTGTGTGTGTGTGAATGTCAGGAAACAAATTCACATAGAAGGAGTTTGGCTAGAGGCTGAGGAAGCAATCATTAATATTTATCCATTACCCCAAAAGAGGATCCCATTATGCTAAGCTTAAGTTGGGGCTGCAGCCTGCTTGTGAACAGCCAGCTGAACACTTGAAACTCGAAACGTTCTGGATCTCTTCTTCAATATGTTTTAGCATAAGCGTGTGGGAGTCTCAGCTGGTAGTTCACGTGCCAGTCTCTGTTGCATCTCTACCACCCTTTTATCCTTGCTTAGCGGGGTAACTTGGTATCTTAATTTTTAATAGAGAAGACTTCTGATATCAACATGGGTATAGACTTCTGGGATTATATGTCTACATACTGCCCTTGTGTACAAAGTACAACTGCTTCTAGGGCAGAAAAGAGGGCTGTAAGAAATTTATGGTAGAGCAGCACATTGTGTCCAGTAGGAATTGTGGGGGGAGTTTTGGAATCCACAGAAGTAATTACTACATTGTAATTTGAGTTAATTTCTTAGTGTACTGTGTAATCTCTGCTGACCAAAACAAGCCAGGCCCTTGTAGTCTAGAATAGTTTCAAGAAAAATGATAGCTCTAGCCTCACGACACATCCAAGTTTCTGTTCAGAACCTCAGTTTGGAAGTGATGTGATAAGTGTGTATGGTGTGGTGAGTTAACAGCATAGCTTTCTGCAGAAATCTTTGGGGAGGGCAAGGGGCAAGTGGGTTGTCCTGGATGATTTCCTTAGATGTTCTCCATCAAAAGCATTGTTTGCCCACTGATCCACTTCCTTGGATTTGAAATTTACAGTTCCTGTACTAAAACAGTAGCATGTAAGAGTGGAGGGAGGGCAAGTTTTCCAACAGCTTTTTTTTCCCTCCCAAACCATCTTTTTGTCCTTGTTGTTCCTGCTACTGCTGTACCAGAAGAAGCTGAGCTAGGTAATGATAGCAGGTAATGGAGTCTAGGGAGGCTAAAAAGGGTTACTTATGAATCTGAGACCCAAATTCCTTTCGGGGTTCCCTGACCCCTTCCCCCAAAGCCATCCTACAGGCCACCATTTCCATCAGCTTTTCTCCTCCTAACCTCCTTCGCCTTATTTAGTAGAGACATTGTTAAGGATATTTTGACACATTCCTCAGTTTTTGCCTTGTGAAATAGAGATCACTAGCAATCTTGGTGTATCTGAGGAGTTGTGGTTTTGTTACTTTTGCACCAGGGATGTAGCAGTTGTCAAAATTTGAGGAAGTTGTTGTTTTTTTTTAACTTATGTACCTCAGAAAGTAAACCCCGTGTGTTGTTGTAGTATCTGAGCATTTCACAACAGCCTAGCATTTTTCATCAATATAATCACCACCTTGCAACTGAAGGAGTTACAGTATACTTGGGCTTTGAGACATCTACAGAAGAAGCTATCTGTGACAGGCTCTGAAGGAAAACCCACAGGAAAGTATTATTAAATGCACTTCATGTATTGTCTGTGTTTCAGCTCGTAGCAGAACCATCCGTATTCTTAAAATACTTGTTTGCTCTAACTTGAATTCCTATTGACAGCCTCAGCCAAAATGATCTATGCTGGAGTAGCCTGAAGACCTGAGCTGTCTTGCTGTCAGAGGAGTCACCAGTGGAAGGCTGGCTCCTTTTGTGCAGGACAGTAGAAGGTAGACTTGGGCATCATACTTTGTGTTGAGTAACAAGTCTGGCAGTTTCGGTAGTTTGTCTTAATGCAGGAATTAATAGCTAAAAACAGATAACTATTTTGCAAAAACTTACATGAAAGCTTATTCCTGCTTCAGAACTCTGTCTCTAGCAGAGAATGCTTAAAAAACATGTAAGAGCACAGAGTACAAGCCTGTCGTAATTGTCATCACTCTTTTCTAGGTCCTGTGTTTAATGTCTCGGTGCATTCTGACAACCCGACAGTTTACCAGGGTGAACTGGCAGATTTGCTGTGTATCATCACAACAGAAGGAATGGCACTTGAGCCAGGTATTTTGCAAAATGTTTTTACTTGTAACTCATTTGCTTTCACCAGACGGAATGATACCAGCAGTTACAACTCCATGTAGTTTGAGTGAGGCTGTAGAATTGAGAACCAGCATTGAAAAGCCTACAGAACTACATAAATAGAGGAGAGCATATTTGCCTTGTGCAGCCCAATTTAAAACGAGGTTCTTTGTTTCACATTCTGAGGAAAGGGGGGGAATAAGTCTTCTTACTGTGAAACCCCCCATGCTATCTGTACCAGCTGACCCCACTGCTGGCAGTCTCAGCCTACAACCATTAGATGCGCCGTGAAAGCTACTCCTGTTTCGTTTCATTGAAGATGATGTTCATTGGCAAAACCTGTTAGGAGAAAATAGTCATGTGTAAACAAATCTTAGTCACCTGGACAGTCAGCACATCACACTTGAGAGTGAATTTAAGGCTTAATGTAAATTTAAAATCACAGAAACTGAATACTGCAGCATAAATGCCAAAAGTGAATGTTTACTGCTGATGCTTTTTCAGAGATGAGCCTCCTTTTTTGTGTGGAAGAGGAAAGAAACATGGTAAAAGGATAGTGGGCACCTTAAAGACAAATCAGAGAATTGTTCAAAACCTAGCTGCTTGCCAAGCATTGCCTGAAAAATGTTGTGGAAGTAACTCTGGTTATTATATCCAAAATTTGGGTTTGGAGTGAGTTTAATGTAATTCTGTAGATATATGGATATAAAATTGTATTTAAAACATTTATAAATATGTATGTAAATATATAAATGTACATACCTAAATATAAAGATGTCATGATTCATGTGAAACTTGGAATCAATGTGTAAGCCACAACAAAAGAGGTGCTGTGCAGAAAATATTACTTATAATGTACTAGCTGATGAGATGAAGTATCAAGCTTAGTAAAAGCCCATCACTTTGAAATTCCAAGATGTCTGCTCTACATTAAATCTGAGTGTAGCGGGAAAGCAATTTGCTAGATTATAGTTCTGTGCTGCCTGTGAAGAAATGATAGAAGTCTGTAGATTGTGTTACTGAAATGCTTGGTAGGGAGAAAAAGCTGAGTAAACTTTATTGCTATGAAAAGATTCATAGCCTGGGATATTGGGCACAGTAACTAGTGTATGCCTATATGTATAACTCAGTCTGCGCTGTGGTTTCTGCTCAGCAGGAAGCCTCTTCTGAGTTGAGATGTGCCCAAGCTCTTATAGGTATTGTTGCAAGGCAGTTCCCAAGGCTTCCTTTGCAAAGCAAGAATTGCTGGCAGAGAGCAGCTGCCACTTCTGCTGGTATTAGCTAAAATAAGCTTGGGGTTGCCTTGTGAAAAAGGCCTCAGCATCCCCAATTCACTTACAAGTTGAGAAGAGGCCACATAGTAACAGTGGAGCTCTCCTGTCAGTGCTCCACTGCAGTTCAGTTCATCATGGGTTTTTGTGTGTTTGGTAGCTTGAGACTGGGAGGAGCACTGACAAGACTAGGATGATCAAAGTAAAAAAGTGTCTTCTTTGAGGAGTTGACAAAATTAAGTTTTAATTGGGCAACTTCATAAGGGTTTATGGATGTCTGTTGAATTGATAAATGATGCCTGGAGTTGGAAATGATGCTGTTAGCAGTGGTGATGAGCAGCCAGTGTAGAGTGTTAATATCACCACTGTAATCTGCTCCACAGCTGGGTAATGTCATCGCCAACACAGGTCATCTCTGCGTCTTTGTCTTGGTGGGTTTTTTGTTTTGTTTTGGGTTGGTTTGGGTTTTTTTGTTAGGGTTGTCTGCTTTTTTTTAATGGAGTAAAGTGTGGCAGTGTGGCATTGTGGCAGGTTTTGAGGGAACCTCTCAGACCATGCTCTGAGCCTCCAGCTGTTGAATGAGCAGGATTTGTGATCTAACTAGCCATGCTATATGGAGAAACGCCATTTTGGCCTTAATGTGGGCCTGAAAAGCTGGCCCCTCTCCAGCCCTTGCTGGTCTTCTGGGTGAGACTTGCAGAAGAGTTGCAGGGAACAGCTGGAATCTATGCAACAGACTTCCCCATGTCAGTCTTCCATTTTGGCCTTGAGAGATGGAGAGGACTAGAGCAGTGGGATAATGGAGCAGGTTAGATGAAGACGGGCCTTAAGGGCTCCTATGATAACAAACAGGTGTAGTTCCTCAATAGTAACCTTACTCCCACGTATCCCATCTCTGATCTGTTTATGCTGAGTCAGTATCACAATTTAGTTCAAAACTGGAATAGAGAACTTGCTTTTTAAACGAGTGCCAAGTATTAGACAGACTGTGAAAATAACAGAGCTGTCTTATCCCAGTGGGGAAATGAGGCATGTTGTTAGGGAAAGCCTACATCAGGTAATCAGATAAACAGAGCAAGAGCTGCCAGCATCTCCAAGAAGAAAACAGATGACATGGTACAAACATGATCTTTCAATTTGGGAATGTGAGGAGAAAGGAAAGCAGAGCACTTGGCATTTGACTCTCTTCTGAGGGCAATTGTGGCTTTCAAAGGCCACAAAACTCTTCTGGTGTCAGACCAGCTGCAGGGCTATCTTTTAGGCCCCCTTATGAGCAATGAAGGGTCAGGGAATTTCATAGGATGGTTTGTTAAATGCACATGCAAAACACTGTGAACAAACCTTGGTATGTCAGCCAGCTCTGCTCTTGTACACATAGGCATTCAACTTTGTAAACATGCTTGTGGATTAGTATGTGTGATTCCTGTAACAGCTGAGGTGTCAGATGCCACCTCTTCTCCCTCTTTTCTGCACAATCAGAAAAATAAAGTGCTGCCAAGGAGCTGAGTAAAAAGTTAAATGAGCAAGGATATCTGTCAGTGTCCTTTTTCTTTACAGTTGGAGCAATCAGTTTGTTTCTAGAAGTGTTACTTATGGTTTGGACCTTGTCTAGTAGAGGCAAAGTATGTGTACCCACCCTGTGGGAAATTTTCAAAAGGGTGGAAAAGGTTTTGGCATTACTGCTGCGTGCTTTAATTTCTTCTGCTTCTTTGAGACCCTGCTGAAATGGAGCGTGTATTTCTAAGCTTAATATGTGGCAGCAACTGCTCTGTCTTAAGAAGTCCTCCTTTGGCTTGGCAGCTGTGGTTGGTGTTTTGAATTGATACGAGGGGTGTATGTGTGTCAGGGGAGAATAGTAGTTCTTCTGTGCCCTGGAGATATAAAAGCTGCTTCTGATATTTCTGTTGAATACACATTTTCACAAATGATCTCTCTAGTCTTCCCAGATCACCCCTTCTTGTGCTGTGTGCTTAGGGATTTTAAAGTATTATGTACTTGCCTGAAAATGGTTTTTTTGTTTGTTTGTTTTTTAATCTGCTCTAGACAGACCCAGTGGGCACTCTGGAGAATTTAACAAAACCAGCTTGTTTACCTCTTGTATGGCTTGAAGTGGATTTCTCAGCTCTCTAGGAAGCCCTATTCAACCTCATTTAAATGTAGTAAACAAAAAGGGTCTCAAAATTGTGATTCAGCACTGTAACAAGATGCTGAGAGAGCTCCATTCTAAGCAGTGGAACTGTATGGTTCCTAAGAGCTGGTCTAGAAATAGGATTCCCTGTTTTGAGAAGTGTTTGGCCAGGGAAGCAGCTAAGACCCAGACAGCTTAGTCCTCTGTATCAATTGAAATATGCATAAAGATGTGCTTTACATGTTGATGATGGTCACTAACTGAGGAGGAGAGGAAGCATAGCACCACTCTGCTCACAGAGTTCTGAAGTCTCCAGATCCCAGTGCTTTCTGTTCCTTTATGAAAGCAGCTGAGTTGTATGACCTGAGAGCACTGAAGTCCTTCATGGCTTTCTAAGCTTGGCACTGGGATATTATGCTTTTCTCTAATGCAGGGCACCTTGTTTAGGTGTCCCACAGTGCTTACTAATGGAGTACAGGAGGAACCGATGGAAAAAAAACCTTGTAGTGTTAAGTGTGAGTGTAGTTTGTATAGTTGGGTTTGTTTTTTGTAGATTGGAGACAAAAATTGTGAAAGCAAGTTGTCAACTTTGATGCAAAGTGTGTGTATAATGGTACTGATGCTTTTGGGAAGCCCAGTGGGTGACCTGTTTTATGTTAGTAAAACTACATAAGTATGTACTTTAAGCATATATTAGCACTATAGGTAAATATTAGCACTTGAGGGCTGCTAGGCGTGTTCATCACTGATCTTTAGAGAGCACCTGGTATGTCCTGGTTTTGCTAAATTTTCCTGATGTTCATCACTGATCTGGTATGTCCTGGTTTTGCTAAATTTTCCTGTGTTTTTATTGCATGAAAATTAGAAATATGTAGAAATTAATCAGATGGTTTTGCTGTCTTAAGCTATTTTAAGGAGGATAGTGACAGACTATTCAGAGCCAAATCCTCCCTCTGACTGTCTGAAGTGAGTCACTAATTGCACACTCTGTATACTGACTAATAAAATATGTTGGCATAATACTGTTGTCCCATGTTGTAATTACAGAAGATAGATTCAACTATTTCAAAATGACAGCAAGTGCCCACACTCATCTTTGTATATTGCAGGAAGGGTACCTCAAATTAACTGAGAGTGAAAAGAAGGAATTCTTCAAAGATAGCAAGTTGCCTGGGAATGTGAAGGCTAGATTTTTAGTTTCTTTTTTAATATCTAAATTTATTGCTTAAACCTTTTTTAGCAAGTGCAGCTGTGTGTTCAGTCTAGTTAGACTTAGCCTGGAAGGTGTCCATATGCTCCTACAGTACCTGGAAACACAAGAGCTAATGGCAGTGTTGATGATCTTTGGAAAGAGTTGGTCATTCCTAGCGTGGCTGCCTGTGAACTGATGCTATTACCGTATTTGGCATAAACAGGCAGCAGTGCCGAGGAGTAGTTTATACACAAAGAGCTCTCTCCACTAGAGACCCTGTTTCCCATAGACAGTTGGATATGAGTACACAAAGCAGAGGTTAACTGAGCATGTGTTTATGATAATTTTTATTCATTTGCTTTCAAAGGAAGCAGTCTGAGTGCTATGTCAAGAAACTAATAGCAGTATTTGTAGTATGATAGGGCAAGAGTGATTGTTGTGAAGGCTGCTGGTCCATATGACCTATGCTGACCCCTGTGTAGGACTGAGAAGCCTGTTCCTGCTGTAAAGCTGCAGTGCAGGTGTCTTGAGGTTCTGTGCTGTCACCTGGAGCTGCTGGATGTGGTAGGCAGGACAGGAAACAGGCTGGTGTCTAAAAACAGTTTAATCAGCCAGCATCTCTGGTAGTAACATCTGCTTTCTCATCTTGTTTTGTTTTTGAAGATGTGTGTAAAACCAGTGCACCTTACAGGGGAGTTAATTATACCCCACGCAGTGGGTGGCTTTTGTCTGCAGTAAGGGTGAATGTTCCAGGTGACGCTATACTTCAAGCAGCTGAGCTGAGGATGTTCCTTAATTTCACTTTATTATTTTAAGGTTCCCTTCCTTCCTGAAGTGTTAGCTTGCCTGACACAGGCTTAACAATTGTCTTTACATATATATGCAAAGAATTTGAATGCAGTAGCAGGTTTAGTAGTTTAATTTTTTCTTTAGCCTGGAGCTCAAACATGGACGTTTAGGGAAGAGCAAACTGAACTAGACAAAAGATCGATTTTAAATTTTAGTTGTTATTAATATATTTTTCAGGGATCTCCATTCTAGCAAATGCAGGTTTGATACATCACCAAAATCATTGGGGCCGTCTTAGGCCTGAAAAGGTTAAGCCCTGTATACACATTCTACCAGTACCTCAAACTCAAGACAGAAATTGTAACTTCTGGTTTAATTTTGGGCTCGTCAGTTTGCTTGTGTGTCAGGAAGGAAGACCTGTTGATGAAACAAGTGATCAAGCTTTCCTGTCTGTGCAGTTTTCACACTCTGACAGGTGTTGCTGGGCTCATGTTAGCAAAGAATAGCAGTGATTTTGAAGTAGATACTCAGCTACATCAGTCTAATAGGGTTAAGACTGAGATCTGCTAATGGGATCTATAGGATCTTGCGTGAACATAGAAAGAGTTAGATGTGTTGATGAACTCTGACTACCTGTCAGCTATATTAAATGTTAAAGGTTGTATAAATGCATTTTATGGACTATCTCCTTGGCTGTTAAAAGTTGTACAAGGCGTGATGCCTAATGCTGTGTGACAGTAACCCACAACTCTGGAAAAAATATGTAAAAGCATCCTAGTCAGATTTTGCTTATAAATGCTTTGTATTTTTGTAGGTAATTCTTTGTGCCCTACAGAGAATCTCTGTATTCATTTAGGCAGACAAAATGCAATGAAGGGGTTTAAGGAAAGAGCCTTCTGACTGTGGCTGTGTGGCCTCTGCATGAGGGTAGTGTTGGGAAATCATTCTCTGCTAGCAAATACCTGGTGTTTCCAATCTCTTTTCAGTGTAGGTTCAGCATAGTTGTAAAACTTTTTCCTACACTAGGCCTGCTTGGTGAAAACTTAGATATTAAATTTTAGTGCATCAGGCTGGAAAGCAAGAAATGTCCTCTGTGTTATCCCTGTAGTAAGTCACCCTTTCTGTGCAGCCACATTCTTCAAGCCAGTGTGTTTCATTGCAGTTCACTGCTTGAATCCTCCTGGAAAGAATGTGTTCGGGGACTCTTTTTTACCTTTTGTGTTGTTTTATTTTTTCTTCTACTGTCAGACCAGTGTTGGCTATACTGCTTGCAGGTTAACCTTTTTGCTGAGGATTGGCACTGTGAATACTCTGTGGAGCTCACCAACATGTCCAAATTCTTCTTTGTCCACAAATGCAGATGATATGTCCTTTGATGTCTCCTGGTTTGCTGTGCGCTCCTTTGCATTGGACAGAGAGCCTGTCTTGCTGGCCTCACTGGACCGGAAAGGGATTGTCACGCAGAGCCGGAGAAACGGGAGCAGTGATCTTAGCCTGGAGAGAATCAGCCCCCTAGAATTCCGGCTCCGTGTTCATGGCTGTGAGGACCATGACTTTGGGAACCACTACTGCGTAGTAACCCCATGGGTGCGATCTGCCACCGGCGTATGGCAGCAGGAACCTGACATCAAAGCCAAACCCATCTTTCTATCTGTAAAAATGGATGGTAAGAGATTGCAACAGATGACGCGGTATTTTTTTGAACGCTTTGTTATGCCTTTCTGTGACAAATGTTGCCCATGGCTATTCTGAGAGGTGCCTGTGGTAAATCTCATTAGACTTTGTTACCCTTTTTTATTGTTTGCTACTTCTGATTCCAGATTCTGTAGACTAGGTAGGCCTGAAGAGATCATACACCTAAGACTGAAGTGTTCCCTTTCCTGATCACCTCTTGGTGATATTTTGCCTAGCTGGGGCATCTTTCAGTCAGGGCATAGTATTCTTTCCAGCTGCCTGCAGGAGGAAGCCTTGGTTTGCATATGGGACAGGCTGAAGTAGAGCCACGTTGTGGTTAATATCAAAGCTGAGAACAGAAAAGTCAAAGCTGTGACTCCTTCATCCCTCTCCTAACCTCAAGATGTGCTGCTCTCTGCATTTAATGCCTTGTTTGCTTTCCAATCTGAGTTGCAAGTGTTGCTAGATTTCACAAGAAGCAAGTTACATGGTAGATGCTGCATTCAGCGTGTAGCTAAGGAGAAAGTTAATGCAGGATGGGTTTTGAACTAGTTGTGTTCTTCTCAGTAGTTCTTGGAAGGGTCGTATTGGGAAATTCCATGAACCTGAAAGGTATCAGAACTTTTTGTTCTCCCTGCTGTGCAGGTAACTGTTAAAATTGTACTATCCAGACTCTTTACAGTTCTGACTCTGCCTTTAACTGAGCAGTAGGTGCCTACAAATGAAATCTCTTGTTTAGGTAGCAGCTTTGGAGGTTGATTGGCCAAGGTTGCCAAGTGGCAGCGAATGTACTGTACAAGTAGCTCTAAGTAAGCAAAGCGTAGAGGAGTCCACTCCTTGCCATTTAGAAGCATATTACAAAGAGTGCAGCTACAGTCTGCCTGTGATGGAGAAACTGTAAGGCTTTTGTATTGAGGGACAGGTAATGTAGTGCCTCTCAGAACTAGCTCTCCCCAAGGCTTAGAAATGGTGGAGGAAGAATTAAGGTTAGGAAGTAAAGGAGCCCTTTGAGAGACTAATTCTCCAAACATCAAATAGTAGAAATCAAGAAGGAAAGTGAGTGTAATTTCCTTATGAAATAATTAACCTGTCCATGACTGAATAATGTGGGATTTTCTCCTGTTTTAGGCAAGAACAAATAAAGGACATCTCTGAGTTTCTAACAACTTTGCCTTCCTCTTTCAGTTCTGAATGCTTTCAAGTATCCCCTGTTGATTGGCATTGGTCTGGCCACTGTCACTGGCCTCTTATCCTGCCTCATTGGCTACTGCAGCTCCCGTTGGTGCTGCAAGAAAGAAGTGCAAGAAACAAGAAGAGAGCGTCGCCGGCTAATGTCAATGGAGATGGACTGAGCGTGGGAGCCAGACACTTGCATTCTGGGAGAGACTCACGGGGTTCTTGGACTGTGCTGAGACACTCACAAGCGCAAACAAGACAGTGCATTTCCTCTCTGATTTCAGCCTGGACCTCAAGCTTCTCCTTGTTACACATCATGTCCTGAGAGCATTCAGGTCATATTTAGCAACTTGGAGTTTTCCTTTTCTAGCAGCAATTTCTGCATAGGGATCATATACTTCTAATGTGCAAACTGTTGAGCTTTCTTTCAACAGGCCCTGTGACAAAATTCACTAATGATTTTTTGTTGTTTTTATTTTTGTTTTTTCCTCCTTTTGCCCTTTTGCTTTTCAATATATGTCCCTGTGTGAAGGCAAAATGGACAGGGTGATGGGTAGGAAGGGGACTGATAGAACTGTTAGACTTCTGTTATATTAACCAGTCTACTTTTCCCTCTACTTCCATCACACCATCCTGTTCCCTTTCTGCGTCCATCTTGGTATCTCACAGACTTCTCTGTGTTGGTTTGAAGGCTGGAGAAGGTTTCTCTGCTGGTGCCTCATGATACTGTTCCAGCAAAGAATTGGTTTATGGTTGTCAGCATGCCTTCTGTTCCCTGGCTTTCAAAGCACTTGTAGTGAACTCCATAACTTGCCTGGAGGTTTTTGAGACACTTCTAAAAAACTTTTTAAAATTTTATTTCAGTGCTCAAAGCTCTTAGCTGTGGTGAATAAGAGCTAACTTGGCAACCCTAAAGAATCAATCCTCAGATTAACGTTAGTTGTAAGTCTGCTTATGGCCACCTTCTTCCCTACCCTTCCACCTTTTTTCTCCCCACTCCAGCTGCTCACATTGTGCCTGAGACCCTGTTCTGCTTGTAGCAGGGGGGCACGTGGTGTCTAGGGATAAGGCCCAGCCTTCTGTTGGCCTTGGCAGACAGGTGGGAGACCTTGCCCCAATGGTGATGGTGTGACTTATAAAAAAAAAAGATGGTTCTTTCTCTGCAGTTGGTCAACTGATCATGTTTAGAGAAGACTTGTAAACTATGAATTACCAAATGCACAGACCTGACTCCAATGCTGCTTTTGCCAGTCACTCAGTGGCAACCCTTGAACCTTTGAGCAGAGTCTGAGATCTACAGTACCTGAAACATGGCTCAGGGTAGGAATAGGAGCAAGCCCAAGAGGGCAGCAAGAATCCTTCAGGTTCCAGTCATCCTGGTCTTGTGCATGGACCTGGAGCAGGGCTTTCCCCTTGGTTTGAGGCCTATTCCTAGGTGCTATAGTATAGAAGTCCTGCTTTGGTCTTCCACATACACTGACCTGGCTCCTGAGTGGGAGCAGCTACTTTTCCAGGCAGTTCTGTCTTCCCAGCACAGCTGGTGTAATAAGCAATAAAAGTCAGAATAAAGATCCTGTGTATAAACAAACAAGGAAGTAGAACTGTACTGTGTCCTGAGGTCACAACCAGAGTTTGGCTTTCATCAAGAAGGGTGAGAAATGTAGAGTTGAGCAAGGGCTCAGTACTTTGCAGTTTTATTTTTTTTTTAAATAAAACATACTGAAGGAGAGCATACACAGAAAGTAGTGCCCGTGGTGTGCTGTTGCCAGTCTAGTAATTCATTATGTATTTGGTCTGTTTCACTAATAGCTCATCCCATTGCACATTCCAAAGGCACTCCAGGTCTAAGTATCTGTGCTGTGAAGGCTCCATTTTGCATTACTATTTGTGGAACCTTGCACTCAACACTGTTGCTTTCCAAAGTCAGGACTTTCTGTGGTAAGTTTTCTTTGTGTGTGTGGTTTGGTTTTTTTACCTGTCTTGCATTGTGAGAGGCTGACATGAGAATTTTTTCTAGAAGGCTGTTCTGCTTCCCTCATGCAAACACACATGGAAGTCACAAATGTATACATACATATATACTTAGAGGTGCCCAATGGTGTTCGGAAGCTGAATGTGTGAGACATCTTCAAAATGGACTTGATTTGAAGAGCTGGGCCTTGCAACTTGTTATTTGAACTTTCTAACACATTTCATGTAGTGTTGCAAAACTGAGACAACAAAAGCCTATGAACATCTGGAAAACTTTGGCATGAACATTCATAGCTACTTTTCTTTCTGGCCTGATGTTTTCCTTTCTGTAAGAGCTCTGAAAAGGCCTATGTTGCAAGCAAATGTAGCTGCCTCTGTTGAGGAACAGGGCAGAAGCAGTCTTCAGTTGCTGCTTTGAAAGCCCAGAAACCTGTAGCAATGCTTTCCAAAGGAAAGGAGTTGAGGAAAGGGTTCACTCTATTTTTTTGACAGCAAGAATTTTTCTTTCCTATCTGTCTGCTGCAGTGATGTCTTGCTTTTTCCTTGGATGTTATGAAGCACCATTCTGATGTTTGGGATGCTGGTGGTCCTTCCCACACTGATCTAGCAGCTTCTTTCCTGTTTAATATATGCTTTCTTCACGGAAGATGTTGGGGCATCTTGGGCAAGGTGTGTAGTGGTGGTGAAGTTTGAAGCACAACATCAGTCACTTTATGTCCTTGCAGAGTGACTCCTTGTTTATGTGCTCTTGGTTAAGTTTAAGGAGAGAGGATCATGACTGTAATGCAATAATTAGGGAATGAACGAGCAGGGAACTGCCAGCTCTTCCCAAGCACACAACATAGCACACTTTCTCCCTGCTGGAAAAATCTCAGGGTTATTTTGGTCAGACCTCCCTGCTCTAATGAAAGGTCCCCATGTCCTTAGCTAATGTTGACCTTCCTTCATGGCCCATAACAAACCATCGTTGTTGTTCCAAGTAAAGCAAGTTTGCTGCTAGCCTGTACTGCTGCCGGCCCCTGGGAAGGCAGTGTTGCATCCCCTTCCACCTTTGCTGTAGTTGGAAGGCTGGAACCTGAGGGGCTAGACTACCCCTCCCCCCAGGTTTCCTTCTACTTGTGCCAATTTTGTATTATCCCCTTTTTTAAAATAGAGTGGGAAACTTATCTCTAATTAAAAAAAAAACCAAACACAACAAACAAAACAACAACCTAGGTCAGTTTTCATGTTGTCTTTTTTTAATTATTATTTCCTGTGTGACTGGGGTTTGTGTGAGTGGAGATGTGTGTGCATCTGATTGTGTATTAAACCTATAGAGTATCAGGAGAGTAAGTGGACTGACATGCAGTGCAAGCATCCATATCCTCCATGCTGCAACCTGTGGTGTTGTCAAAATATCCTAAGGGCTCACGTTGATCTTCCTCTGTTCGTGTTGCCACATCTCCTGGTTAAGCTGGTAAACTCCTCCAGGCACCTGGAAATTCAATCCAGGACAAGCCTGAACATGAAATAGCAGAAGGGCAAGAGACTTTGTTTCTTTTGTTTTAATTTCAAAGTTATAAAGTGTTTGGCACAGTTCTGGAATGCAGGTACTGAATAGTTCTAACAATGCTGTGTAAAATGTTTCTTTCTATGTTTAAAATAAAGAGCGAGCCTTTTTGATTATGTCTGTGCTGTGCGTTTAGATGATGTTTTGATCTATGGGTAGTTCTTTCCTTGCATGTATGCAGACATTATTGAGACAAGGGTATCAAATGTAAACCTTACAATCCTGTTTCCAGCACTGCTTATCCTGTAAAATAAGCATGAGCCCTATTTTACAGTAAGTTTTATATTTGCCTACATTTGTGTGATGAATTGGGGAACATACTTGTTTTCTGAGTCTATCCTGTTTCTGCCCCACTGTAAGTCAACCTTTTTGTTGAGGGAGTTTCCTTTTCATTACCTTGGCCCAGGACTCAGGAGTGTGTTCAACATCTGCTGTAAAAACTGAGCATTAGATGTTGAGTTGTCTTTGAACCTTTCATTTCCAAGGTACCAGAAGGAAAATCAGTAGTGTTGGAAGTGAACTTCCTGCTTACCTTGCTAATGGCTGAATTTAGGATTTATTTATTTTTTCCTCCCAGCAGCCATGTAAGGATGCCATGACAGTATAGCAAGGAGGCGACTTGCTTTCCAACTAGAAGTTGCTTCAGGCAGAAGTGTGGACCTTTGGCTTCTTTCCAGGTGGTGGTGTTGCAGCTGGTGTGGAAAGATATCCTCTGTGAGTGTCCTTACAGGAAGCTGGGAGGTGGCACCAAGCTGTAAGTTCTTAAGGGGTGACAGAGACCATCACCTGAGATAGGGAAATATCATAAATGGTCTCTGATCCCTCAGCAGAGCCTTTGGCAGCTGCAGATGTTCGACACACACACGAGTAATTAGTGGCATGCTTGTGGGACAACAGTAGTTGGCCTCTAGCTGTGCAGGTTACAGCTTACTGATAAGTTTGGATTAGCTTTATGAAATCCTCTTGCCTCCCCCATCTCCTGTAATGACTTGGATCTTTAATAAAGTAGTTGAAAGTGTGTTAGGATTTTACCATAAAAAAAGAAAATAAAGCTAAAACTTCAAGTCTGGAGATGAAGAGTAATACTTGCAAGTAACTACTTGAGTGTAGCCCTAAATTTTAGGAGTTACCTAGTCTCCAGCATCACCTTGTATCTGCTATGGGTTTAACTCAGCCGTTTACCTATAGAGGTACCTAGCTGCCTAGTGTTACAGAGACATCCTGAAAAGCACCTTTGTGCCAGAGGCTGGGTGGTTTGGTTGCTTCTATTGCACCCAGGTTCAGGCAACATGCTTGGTTGTGCTTTTTCCACGGCAGAACCCAGGCCAGTCCAAAAACCTCCACTGGGTTGAAGCTGACTGAAGTAAGATGCATGAGAAGACCTGCCTCCTCTTTGTCACATGAAAATTGAAGCTGGGCATGCAAATCTTTCAAGGAAAGGTATGACTTTTGCCTTTTCAGGGGGACTTTCTACATTTCTATGATCACAGGGGGGCTGTTGTCTGTACAGCAGATACCAGGAGATATGGTGTTTCAAGCAAGAGCCTTTAGCAACTGATCCAAGCTGTGGGACGTGCTAACTGAAGGAAAACTACTACTCACTCTTGCATAAGGTAAATGCATCTTAAATACTGCATGTAGCCTTCTATCAAACGGCCCTTTGCCAGGGATCTCCTTCCATTACTAAGGAAAATGGCATTAGGCCGTAGCCAGCAGGTGATTGATACTGAGAGCTCCAGGGAAATGCCTGGGTTATTGAGGAAGCCAGGTTCTGTGGATTTCTAGTGCTGCCACAAAGACATGCTGTTCTCCCCCTGGCAGACAAGCTGCATTCCACAAAGTACCAGAAGTGTAAGTGCATGTCTGCTTCCACCTCTGCCAAGGGGTTAGAAAGGCAGAGCTTTCCAAAGCAGACTTTGTGAAAGCAAATTAGTATTATATTATACTTCATTCATGTGGGATTTTATAAACTCCAGGATGTACCAGGCCTTAGATTTGACCACAGACTTAGTCTGGTTGCACTTCTGCTGGCTTTAGAAGTGAATAGTAGAGCTTCAAGTGGATGGACAGGAAGTTCAGTTTCTTTTTCCTGACTTAACCTGGGTCATACTCTCTGTTTCCTTGTTCATACGATCCTGACAATGATTTGACATTGAGAAGTTGGCAAGGAGTCTCAAAGATACAAGGTTTCCTAAAGGGAGAGGCTAGAGAGAAGGAAGGCTGCTTCCAGAGCACCTCCAGCAGAGCTAGCAGTATGAACGTACCAGTCACTGGGTATCTGAGAACCCACAGGGATGTCTGAGAGGAGAGGACTGGTGTAGCCATTGTGGTTCTTCTTGTCCTTGTGATGACTTCAGCTCTACAAAGGGCATGGTGTGCAGCAGCTGGGGTGTTAGGGCTATGGTCAACAAGGAAAATACCTATGCTGTTTAGCATCTTCCTGGTTATTATGGAAGCTGTGACTACAGCCAAATGCAGGTTCTGAATGCAAGTACAATAGCACTAACTCCCGTTTGGTGTTCAGGTACCTCCTCTTTCTTTCTGTCCCCAGCCTTGTTTGCTCATTTCTTCTGTTTTGTTCACTCTCCCTCCCCTCTCTCATTTCCTATTCTTTTCCTTCAGGAGTCTCGTCTTGCCTTTGCTATCTAGACTAGTGTTTGTCTCTGCATCTCTCAAAGACCATGGTGTCCTGTGCTCATCTCTGAGTGAGAGCAGGGCTATGTTGTTGCAGTGCATCTTTGAATCATCTGCTGAGATGTCAAGCTGCAGAACTCTGGCCCAGAACCCGCTACAGATCATCTGCAAGGCTGGCACCAGACACGCATCCACACAAATGTTTTGTAGCCTCAAACCTCTTGAGGAGTCCAGACAATATGCAAGGAAACTGAACATTTCAGATGGGGAAATGACTCCAAAGAGACAAGAGATTCTCTTTCTCCTAAGCAGAAGGGGCAGGTTTTCTTTCTAAATAAGATGGTTTTGTCCTGCTTTCTTCAGAGAGGCTGCTTGCTGTCATAACACATTGCTGCTCAGTGTCTGTGAGCTTCAGACAAGCGACCACTGTGCTGAACACTAGCTAGTATGAAGCAAAGTAATTCTCAAGGTAACTATGATGGGATTAGTCTTGAACACTGAAGATAGCCACTTTGGGGTCTTGAGAAATAGATACTTAAAGAATGTAATTTTTCCGACCTATTTGAGCCATGCATTTTAGAAAAAGGAGAACCTGAAAGTACTCATTTCTCACCATTGATTGGAAAGTGCAACTCGCCAAAAACAATAGGAGTTTAAAAGTATTGGCCAGGCAGGTAAGGGCTGAGAGAAATGAGGTAGTGGCAGCTCCCTCTAGTGATGGGCTAGGGAAGGAGGAAGGAAGCCACAGCAGATAGTTGTAGTCAATATTGAACCAAGAAACAGATGAGTGGTCCTCGAGATCTCTCTTAACAGTTGTTCTCACATAACTTACGTTTTTGTGAAAACATTTCCAGGATGGATTTTAATCTCGATTTTCTTACTGGTATAATAGCTCTGCCTTTGCATAAGAGTACTTCTTGGATTACAGCTCTCAGGATGGATCTAATTAATCTACTTGCAGTTCTATCCTTGTGCAGGCTCCTAGTCTAAAGCCACACAGCTTTTCTGCTGTATGACTACTGAAGCCAAACAAGTCTCATACTGAGGTCCCTGGTGTGTTACCCACAGTGTCCAGTCCTTTTCAAACTGTCTCTTCTAGTAGCTGTATCAGTAGTGACTAAGCTTACTGAAGTTTTTAGAGCAAACTCATTGCCACTAAAGTGAGTCTTCTAGCAATGAAAAGGATAATATTTATTCCTACTTTATTAGGTGCTTGGCCTTCTTCCACAGGGACAGACGTTGCAAGCTGTTTTGTGTCACTGTCCACTCTTTTCCCCCCAGCACCCCATCACTGTGGGCTGACAAACAAAACCTCTTCCCCTAGCTCAGAAATAGCCATCTCTGATGTTTCTGTTGCCCATTCAGAAGCTGAGCTTTGAGGGCCCAGCCTGGAAGAAGTATACATTTTCTTTAGAAATAAGATATTAAGTTCCTTTTTGAAACTGCTGGCATTTCCTGCAGGCTTTCAGGTGCATGCTGAGGTGTCCATGCCTGGTGCCATTATCTTCTTCTCTCTTCCTTTTTGTGTCCCACAGCCTCCTGCATTTCATTCACTTTCCTTTTCTCGACCTGATTGTATACAATGTTAACAAAATGGCTCTTGAGACCATGGCTTTCAGGACCCTGGGCATGACACTGCTGTGTTTAAACCCTCCCTTACCTTGTGTTGGTGGCAGCCAACTAACTTTCAGCCAACTTTCTAACTTGACTGAGACCCACGTTTCAGTGGTGACAGATGTTCTAAAAGTGTCTGAAAGTAGCAAGGGAGGTGCTGCAGGCTCTTTTAGGTGGAAGGTGTCAGGCAAAAGTAAGGTAACTGCTGCTGTGTTGCAGTACTGGGTGCTTCCTTTATCAAGTGGCAATACTGAAGGAGTTGTTTTCACACTGAGACTGATAATCCAAGCACAAAGACGTGAGAGCTAGTTTGCACATTTGCAGCTCTTCTGACATCTCTGTTTAATCAAAGCTGTGTACCCTGCAGGCTTTGCCTGGAGTTCACTGCAGCTCCTGCCTTTTGTTTGAAGGAAATTTGTCTTTGTGTATATGTAACTTAGCCTTCTTGTTGCTATAGCTGAGACATCCTCTAGTGCAAATGGAGGATGCCAACAGCATCACTATTGCCTGTGCTGTGTTCTGCTGTTCTTCTCTTGGGACGCTTGTGCAGCAATAAGGGCAACATGGGGTGGTGGTGTCCAGATGCCAAGGAGAGTGAAAAGATGGCATATTGAAAAACATAATCTACTGCATGGCCAGGTACAGCTCTCTGGTAGCTAAATGCATGCAGACAAATGAAGAGCATGTTAATGTTACATTTTGAGTCAATGTCCCACTCTGGCAACCCCTCAGGCCCCAAGCTGAATTTCTTTGGTTACCTGCTTATGTGTATTTGGAGAGAAGCTTCATATTCACAGATGAAGGATACTTTGGTGCTTCAAGAGGAAATGAAGTTGGCAGTTTTGGGATTTTAAGAAGGGCCACTCTGGCTCTCCTATCAGACCTTGTGAAACTGCTGCTATTCCCATGATCTCTGAGTGAGAAAGAGGGAACTGTGTTGGGTGGATGAGTAAAGGCTTTGATGCTGAGTGTGCTGTGGTGTAGTTTTGCCATTGCTGCCTTGCTTTATAACTTGGAGCAGAGTTGTGTGTCACTTCCATGTTGTTCTTATTGCCAGCGTGGCCTCACTCTGCCTGTGCAGACAGAGCTTTAGTGTCCTGGCTGGTAAGGATGAGACTATCTGTCTACATAGGTGGCAGGGCTTCCCTGAGTAGCTTTTGTGCTGCTCTGCAGGAGCTGCATCCTCTCTCTTCAGCCCCAGCCCTGCAGTTGCCTGCCTACAGCTTCCAGATGCTCTGCTCTCTGCAGCAGGTTCAGGGTGGGGAGAAATCCGTGTACTTTCAGGTTCACATGCTGTCATCAGAGGGATCCACGTGCTTCCTGAAAAGGTCCTTGGAGACCCTCTGCCTACTTCAAGTACTGGAAAACATTTATTTTGTGGATCTTCCACTCAGGTATGTTAGGAGAGCAGCTCCCTACTGCAGCTACTTGTGTAGTGGGTTTTGGAAGCTGGGGTTGTCGTTTTTCCCATCTTAGATATATTTAAAATTGACTGCAGCAATGGCTGTTTAATTCCTGTGCTACCATTTCCAGGACAGCTATTTAAATTTTTTTTAAACCCTCTTGCTTCTGGAAATCCTGTAATGGAATCCAAGCTCTGTCAATCTAATTAGTTTGAAGTGCAGCATCTCCATAACTTAGAGACCTAAATAAGCAGCTTAATATTAAAACCTAGCTTCTCTCCCAATATGTAGTACTGTTCTGTATTCCCCCACACAAGTTCCTACTGAACAACAGCCCACTGCATTTGCTCTCTTTTTTTCCCTCTTTTAACCTCTCTCCTCCCTCCTCTGGCCTCGGCCCTTGCTGTGTCCATCAGGAACTGAAATGACCAGGTGCTATCCTCTGTTGCTTTGCTTCAAACATTCTTTAACAATGCTGCTTGCTTAAAAAATGCCGATGCCACTTCAGATGCCAGCATAGAGTGGTTTGGGAGAGATGCGTGGCAGGTCCTGGTGCCATGCATGAGCCCAGCTGGACAGGGGGCTATGCTTGCCAGCTGCTTGGTGATGTGATTGAGCCCTGCATATGCTGCAGCAGGGGATTGCCAGGATTTATGGAGGAGAGGCTGTGCCACCTTGAAGCCAAGTCTGCAGCCAGGTAAGTATGGCCTGATGCGGTGCAGGAAAGGGCAGCTGCTGAGCAATGCCTCTTTGCTGATGTGCTGACAGGGAGGAGATGAATCAGCTCCCTTGGTGCAGCATCCCTCCTGGTCCCCATCAGCACATTGTACTCCTCCCTTAGCTTTCTGCCACCTGCAGCGAAGGTGAGATGTCCAGAAGATTTATGTCAGAAACAGACTGTTGTCCCAGACTATGAAGATTGGTGGAGCTATGGCTGTAGAGGAGTGAGACTTGTCAGCCCTTTTGTGTGGGTAGAAGATTTAAAAGCAAAACAAACAAACAAAAAAATAATTAGAGGGAGGGCTAAAGAACACTTTTTATTAGGATAAGATATATGAGGCATGTGATTTAGGTTCTGCTTATGTACCTCTGGCAGAGCAGGTTCAGAACAAGTGTGTTTGCCTGCTGCTGTGGCAGTGAAGCTGGATTAAGCCATCCCACTTTCCTGAAGGACTTTGCTGTCTCTGCAGTGCCCTGACCAATTCTGTTCCTGTTTGGCTCTTTGCAGTAGAAACAATGGTGCAAATGTGAGCAAACACCAGTTCACCAAAAAAGACCTGTGGGCAGTCTCTTCCTAGGCCAGCCCTGGCTGCTCACTACTGAAAGTGGCTCTTGCTGTGCAGTTGCCCAGGACAGGTGTTTCTCTGCTTGCCAGTCTGTTTTTACATTTCAATTATTTAAGTGCTTTCTTTCTGTAACAATTAGATTTTGTTTTTTGGTGCGAAACAATCACAACCAGCTTTCTGTGCTGCTGTGGGTTATGTTTATGAAGACCCTGCCCTTGCTGTGCGTTGGAGCCATGTCTCACCAGGGCCCAGGACACGTAGGATTTGAATAACAGAAGTAGTCCTTCCCACTGCCATGAGAAAATGTCACTATTCTCTTCACTTTTTCTAGGCTTCCCCCTGTTCTTGTGGTTGTCTGGTTTCTGCAGGAGTGGTAGGTCATTTAGCATATCAGTGGGGAGATCTTTATCCTCTCAGATCTTCCTCACCTCCCACAGTCCAAGGTGAAAGCTCCCATAACTGTGAGGCAGACTCCCAGCAAAGTGAGCCTGGCTCCAACAGGAGCTGGAGGATTTGGGTATTTGTGCTCTGTCAGTAGTTTTCTGCCCATGAGAGCATGCCCGGGGGATGACAGCTGAGCTGACTGGCCTTGGGGAAGCCAGGCAGTTGGCCGGTTCCTGCTCCATAATTGGGGGAAGTAACCAGCTGCCTTTGATGTCTGAGCTGGGCTGAGAAAACCTGACTGCAGACTTCAAAGTCTGTTGTGCCAGCTCCCCTGATTATCTGTAGGCTGCTGGCACGTCCCCCAAGACTTCCAGATTATCCCAGCTAATGCTGCACTCTTCCCTGTATCCCCCAACCAGCCCCTTGCTTTCCAAGCTGCAAGCTCCGTTCCTCCTTCTCCTTCTGCCCCTCCCCAGTCACTGTGTGTAGCAGCCTGAAGTTTGGGAGTTCTCTGCGACTGTCCTTTGCAAGGCACTGAGGTATTTAGAGCCAAGCAAGCACCCACGTGTCTTTACCCTCCAAAAAGCCTTTGGGGAGCAGAGCTCTCTCTTCTGTGCTGCTCCAGGGCAGATGATGCAGGCTGAAGGATGAGTATGGGCTGGGAGCTGAGGGCTGCATTGTTTTTGCCACCTTCCCTGCTGGGACCTTGCTGCTTCAAATTACTTTCTAGTTCCTTTGCCACCTGTGCTTCAGTGCTCAGGGAGCCCCAGGAAGCTTGTCTGTGTGAGGAGAGTTGCAGAAGGCAGGTCATTGCTGAGGATGGGCTGGGATGGGGGTGAGGAAACGGTAGAGCCGTGAGGCTGAGCAAAGGCCCTAGAGCTTGGGCTGCTTTGAAAGCAGTTTGGTTTCTTTCGGAATGTTACATAGCAATGCCATAAGTTTTTGGAGGAGCCCTCCCCTTTTAAGAATTGGGTCTTTTTTCACCCAGAGCAAGCAACATTGGCAGTGGCTGAAAACATTCCCTGGGCGAAGGTGGATTTGCCCAAGACACTGTCTGGGATCTGGTTTCCTTTGGAAGGTGGGTTCATTGGTACTTTTCAGAGGTGGGGTAGGCTGTGCTCTCTTCTGCAGCGTGTTGCCTGCAGGCAGAGGAAACCACAGCTGCCCTTATCCCACCTGGGGTGACTGAGCTCATGAGGACCATGTAGGCAATGCAGGAGATATGGGCTGCAGCTTCTCCCCTATGCTTGCCTGGTTGCTTTTGGGTCTTGGCAGTTTCTTCCCCCTAATATTAAACACTGACCATGGAGTTACGTCCCTCATCCTCAGCAGCTTCCTCTATAGCATTTCTACCCTGCTGCAGAAGTGACCCTCCCTTATCCCCATCCCTCCCCAGGCTTCTTGCAGTGTACAAGGGTAGTGTCTGGTCAGTGCTGTGGGCAGCCTGACCTCCAGCCTTGTACTCTGGAGAGGGACATGGTGGTACCCTGCTGGGGTGTGCTGAGAGGTGGCCCTGCTGCCCAGGTGCTGGCACTAGCCAGGCTGTGCCAAGGGCCAGAGGTCAATAGAGTTTAATCCCTGTGGCCCTGGTGCAGCACTTCAGCTCAGCAGGTTGAGTTGCATGGGCACATGCAGCACCTGGCTTGGAGGAGGTATGAGCAGGACCTCTCTCTTCTATCCAAGAAGCATATTCTCCCCTCATTTCCCATCCAGTGTCATCCCCAGGAAAACAGGGTACGGGAATCTTTCTCCCCATGGATTTGGCTTCCCTGATGCGGTTTCTAATGGCAACACTGTCTTTGTAAAGAATTCTGTGATCCTCTTCCATTACTGTGCCTTGTGTGGTTCCTGCCATGTCTGGTTGCACTGATTCCCAGGGAGGAAGAGAATAAGTATCAGACTGCTCAGTCCCGGGAAGAGAGAGCTGTTGGTTTTGTCCACAGAGAATCATCATTGCCAGTGATAGGGCTGGGCCAGGCAATCCTATTCTGCCTGGTTTCTCTGTTGCAAATGTAAACAGCAACTCATGCATCATTAGAGTTGCAAGCTTAGAGTTAAACTGTCCCTGTGTGTGCGTTTATCTGCATACTAACTGTCAGAAGCTCACTGAGGTTGAACTCCAAGTTTCTTTTCTATTTACTTTGTTGCTGTAGCAGAGATGCTTTTCCCTCCTCCAAAGCGGTAAGCGGGTTGGCTTACTGTCAGCAGGATCATCCCTGGGGTGCTGCTGGCAGTGGGTTGCTCTTAGAAAGCAAAGCTCTTCATCCCTTTCCTGACACAGGAGAGTTTCATACTGCAGCAGAAAATGGAAGCCTACCACACACTTCTGGCTATGTGCAGGGCTCTGTTCTGCTGCTGGGACACGGGCTTTTCTCACCAAAAGGCATGTTAAGGCACTGTACCACTTGCCAGCATCTGCCCTATCTGCTTGTCTCCATTGTGGAGCCTGCATGTGGTTTTCAGCCCTGTGTTGCATCTTCTTACCCCAAAACGTGTTCTGCTTCTCTGCTTTCATTGCAACAACGGTGTCTGGTGGGGGGCAGATGAGATCCTGCAGGGACCTCTCTAACTGCTGGGACAGCTAGTCACCCCATGTTTTGGTTTAGTGGTCAGGGCAAACCAAAAATCAGAGAACAGAATTGCTTGTTACCCCCCTTGACCTTCTCAAGGGAAAATAAAAGGAGAATAAGGAAGACAGACTTAAGGGTTAGAAGTTAGAACTGGAACAGGGAGGGGACAGTAAGACATGGGATGAGGAACAAATGTATACAATACCTGATCTTGATGATCACAGATATGTGTGTGAGGGTCCCCTGGGGCAGATCCAACTCAGGAAAGGGGTCCACAACTCTTCCCACCACCTGATGGATTCATATCCTGCAGAGGACATGGGGAGCTGGTGACAAAGCAGGAACCTTTCTCCAAGACCTCAGAGTGCAACAAAGCAGCAAGAAGGGAGCAGGGAGGGGGTGGGCTTCTTATCCTCCTGGCTTTTATGTAGTATGGCAGGAAATAGGAGGGAATGCTAGCCTCTCTGTGTTCTGCCACCAGGATCTCTCAGGGTCCTAAGCACCCTCTCTCTAGGTCCTCATAATGGCGCCATAAAATCAGCCTGGGCCCTCTCAAACCAGAGCACCCCAGCTTGCATTTGGCTCTGGAGAGCTGCATGATGCTACAGGAGCTGCACACACCAGCAAATGAGAAGCTGGCTAAGGGTGGCATGAGCCTTGCAGTGAGAAGCCTTTGCCTGTGTCTCCTGGCTCTGCAGGCTGTCACATGAATAATTTTATTGAACAGGAGAAGGAGGGACACCATGTTTGTTTTCGTTTGTTACATCAATCTCATTCCCTCTAGGAGTCCCATGGGATCAAGCAAAAGGACTTGTTTTACAGTTGTTTTCTGCTTGTGAATCCCTGAGCTAATTTAGTCGCTCAGTCAGTGCCTTGGCAGCACGGTGGGAGCAGTGTGGCTCAGGGGGAGATGCTTTGTGCCGCTGTCCTTTCTGGAGGGGGGGAGGGGAAAGAAACAAAAAAAGAGTCCACAACCAAAACAACCCTTCCCCAAATTCCTTAAAAAAAATCCTTTCAGAGTGTCCCTGGTTTGAGCCCCTCACTAGTGTCTGGCTGCGTGCCTGAGAGGCTGGGTTTCCCCTGCCTGGGATGTGCCCCTCTCAGCCTCCCCCAGGTCCCTGTCCCCTGCCGGCAGGAGCAGCATCACGCCCCAGGCCATGCAGTGCCGGGATGCCAAGCACCAGCTGATGCCACCGCAGCCCTTGCCTCTGGGGCTGTGGCCAGGTCGTCCTGGTGCAGCTCCCTCTGGCCTCACTGGTTGAGCGGTGCTGGTCCAGTGTGGCCCACATGCAGGTATCTGCCCATAGGGTGTGCTTACAGGAGAGTCTTCCTGGCTGATTTCTGGCTGTATGGTGATCCTTTGAGAGCTGATGGGCTGGCTGTTATGACAGAGGGTCTCCTGCCTGTGTAGCTGATGGGCTGCTAGGGGTGCTGTGAGAGATAAATCCCACTTGGGGTGCCCCACTGCACCCTGAGGCCAAACTAGGTCAGCCATCCTTGGGGAGCACTGTGCCAACTCACCCTGAACCTGACATGCTGGTGGGATCTTCAGCCCTAGACATGGACCCCCAGCACAGCACCTGGCCTCTTCTGCCCTCTGTTGGCAGGGAGCAAGCTACTCCATGCAGCAAAGTCAGAGTCTGTGAGCGGCTGTGGGACAGCAAAGCCACAGCCTGTAGTGCTGGGCACCTGGCACACACACAGCAGCAGGAGGAGCCTTGGGCATCACCCTTGCCCAGACCACTTGGGGCTAGGGTGCTGGCTGTCACCTCCCCAGAGGCGTGTTACTGTGCTGTTGCACCCCACTCCCCAACTTCTCCCTGCTGTTTCAAAGCAGAAGAAACCACTGCTGAGCAGCTTCCTCCCAGCCAGTTTCAAAACAGCGGGGTGGCTGCTGCTATTTCTCACGAAAACTTTCCACCATCCCTTTGGGAGAGGACCTAAGCAGAGTCATTTCCCATGGGGCTGGTGTGGTGCCTGGTGGCTGCCTTTCTTCTCCCAGGTGAGTGCCCTGCCCTGGGCTGGGGGCTGTCCTGGGGCAGGTGAGGGGAAGTACCTCCTTGCTGAGGATGGGACCTTTGCAGGCGGGTGGCTCAGTGGGGAGCCTTGCTGGGGCTGCAGGACCAGGAGGGCCCCACTGTGGCCAGCACTGCTCTGGCTTGGTGGCTATGGGAAGAGGTATTGTGGCATGTTCTTCTTCTCGCATTGTGGTTTCACTCAAAAGCAATAGCTTGGACCTTGGCAGGATTTCAGTGAGGGGACATGCATACCCCTGTTGAGTGGCTACTGGGAGTGTGGAGGAGGTTACCTCATCCCCCTTCCCTTGGGGGAGAGATTTTCTGAGGGTTTCTTAGTCTGTGCTGCCACCAGCTCTCTTCCCTGGCTCAGTCTCCATTGTTGGTGCCTACATCCTATGATCATTTTGCTCAGTGTGTGTGCTGGGCACCAGAACAGAGTGAGTGTCACCACGGGGAGCTCTGCAGGAGAGGAGGGTTCACAGGTGGCCATCAACTCACTAAACTGTTTGTAGGCAGAAATTAAAGGAGCCCTTGATGCCTCCCAGTGTCCCTTGTCCTTGGAAGAGCACTTGCTGGCCCCCTCTCCTATGCCTTCCCTGGTTTTTGTCCATGGAGCACTTCTGCAGCACCTAGCCTGCTGGTTCTCTCCACTGTTCCATGTCGCTTGGCTTCTGTGTTGCATCTTCTGTGGCAGTGGTCAGCTCTGGCACTTGCTGCCTTTCCCTCCCCAGCTTGTGGAGGACAAGTATTTGGTCCTCTTAATTTCAACATGCCACAAGCTTCCTCCAGTTATCTCAGCCTGGTTGCTGCTCCCTCTGAACAGCTGGTTGAGAGATGTTTTCCAGCCATGAACAGGCTTGACAGCCCTCTGGCCATGATGCCCTGGTGTCCCTCCTGTGACCCAGTGTGCTAGGAGACAAGAAAGCAAAGAGGTCTGTTGTTACAGTGCTTGATCTTACAATTACAAGGGCTGTGAAAACCCTTGGACTTTGTGCTTCAAAGAATGAGGCTGCACAACAATCCTTTTCAGTATTATGTTGTGGTCCTGTGCTCATCCAGACCCGTTGTTGTTCTGGGCACGCGGCTTTGGATAGTGGATACCCCTGCAAACACTGCATGTGCCGACTGTTTGCTGACAGGTTTGAGCACTGGCCAACGGGTGGTGACTGTTCAGAAGGGGCCCCTCTACCGTGTAAGGGGGTCCCACATCACGCTGTGGTGCAAGGTGAGCGGCTACCAGGGCTCAGCAGAGCAGAACTTCCACTGGTCCATCTACCTGCCCTCGGCCCCTGAGCGGGAGGTGCAGATCGTCAGCACCATCGACCCCTCCTTCCCCTACGCCATGTACACCCAGCGGGTGCACAGCCGGGGGATCTACGTGGAGCGGGTGCAGGGGGACGCCGTCCTGCTGCACATCACCGAGCTGCAGGACCAGGATGCCGGGGAGTACGAGTGCCACACGCCCAACACCGACGAGAAGTACTTTGGGAGTTACAGCGCCAAGACGAACCTCTCAGGTGAGTCCTAAAGGAAAGGCCTGCTCCCTGCCAGGTAGAGATGCAAGGCAGGCTTCCACTGCCCCCACCTTGAGCTGGGTAGACCTTCTCTCCACTGTGTAGTTGCTATCCTACCCCTGGGTGGCCAAGGTCGGGATGTCCATAAGCAGGTTGCTCTGGCTGTTGCCTCCCAGCCAGGGCAAGGGAAGAGAGAGGAAGCCTCAATTGTCACATAGCCTGACTTTAACTTCAGTTCCTGACACAGCCACAGCATTTCACAGCCAAATGCTCAGGAGGACAGGAGTTTTCAGGCTCTGTATATTAGCTGTTGGTGTCTTAGGTCTGGATATGGGACTTAACCCAAGTAAGAAACCCAGAGAAAGAGGGAGGGAGCAGCTCCTGCAGAGCACTTGGGGAAAGAACACGACAGAGTGGAGACACAAAGGGAAAGGCCCTACTGTGAGCCTACCAAGAATGCAGTGGTATGGCACTTTCCTCTGGTATTCACCCAATTCTTCCTTTATCCTGGTGGTGTGCCAGCCTGTGCTTAGGACCATGAAGGGCTGCTCATTGATCTCCTTGGGGTTGCCTAATTAATACTGTCCTTAGTTTGCCTGAAGAGGGTACTACAGAAAGATTCCTTTTGCTTATTTCCTTGATGAGGTTTTAACCACTTCCCACCTTGGCACAGGCTTGTTAGTCTGCTACAAAAGATATTTCTGCTGCACTGTCAGATCCCTCAGGGCCTGGCTGCAGCTCAGTGTGACCAGCTGTTTGCCCACCGAGACCAAGAAACAATTTTTTCTGTGACCCCCTTGTCTCTGTGTTCTTCCCCCATGCCCAGTGATCGCAGACACTCTCTCAGCTTCCATGGTGCCCCAGGTCCTCACTCGTGCTGAAGGGGAGGCAGTCAGTCTCACTTGTGAGGTGTCAAAGTCCACTGCCCAGCACACACATCTCTCTGTTGGCTGGTACTGTCTTCAGGGAGCAGGAAAGAGCCGTGCTGAGGAGATCGTTACTCTCTCCAAGGACTTTGTCTTGAGGCCAGGGCCCTCTTATGCGCAGAGGTTCCTGGTGGGGGACGTGCGGCTGAACAAGGTTGGGAACACCACGTACACGCTCTCCATTGAGGGATTGGAGCCATCTGACCAGGGACAGCTGTACTGTGAGGCAGCTGAGTGGATTCAGGATCCTGATGAGACATGGAAGGACATCTCCCATAAGCAAACGGAGAGGACATCGCTGGTGGTCACGAGCCAGGGTAAGGCCCTTGCAAATTCATGCATTTACTCCAATTCCTTTGTGCATTTGCGGTTCTGTAGCAGTAGCCTTCAGTGACCTTTGTCTGCCTTTGCCACAGTCCGGGGACCCACCAGTGGGTCTGACTGTCTCTGCTGGGCACTAAAGGGGGTGGTCTGGGCCCAGGGCTGTGGCAAACCCTGGTTTGGGAGCTCTTGGTGCTTCTTGCTTTGGAGGTTCCCACAGCTGAATTTCTAATGCCAGCAGCAATCATACAACCTCATGGGTCCATGTGAGGTGTTAGTAGAGAGAGCAGCATGTGCCTGCAGCAGCCTGGCTCCTTTGGCTGTGTTAACCTCCAGTGCATGGAAAACCACATTGTTAGCCCTGAGGATCTCATGGCCTCAAAAATTGATGTACACAACACTCAGCTGCCTGTCATGGTGCCTCGATCGCAGGCACCACAGACACACGGATATGCTGCATGTGCTGCATGGCTCTAGAGTCTGCTAGAGGTGGCTGGTCTGTCCACGCTGTCACCAGTCTGCCAGTTTCCAGAGCAATTAGTGTGGCTGTTTATTAGAGCATTCCTGTGTCGTCTCCTGGTAGTTCATATATGGCAGTAATGGCACCAAGTATATGGCACAAAGTTCCTGGCCTGTGCTCTTCCCACCGCTAAGTCTTACCTCAAAGTGGCCAAGACAAGTCTGTGTCTAGTCGATGCCCTTTTAACATATCGGATAGTCTGCAGTAATTTTTTTTTTCCTCACAGAAAACCTTCCTGGGGAGGTAGTGTACCCTCTTCCCATGACTCAGGGCAGCTGGAGGAGGTTGCAGAGAGGGGGTGGTGCCGGGATCTGGTGCCTCACAGTAGGGCAGTGAGTCAAAGCAGGAAACCAAAGAAAAGGATGGGTAAGGACAAAGCACCCTGTGTGCGGCTTTGGGGAGTGAGGTATCAGGGGTAGGGTAAGGGAAGTGCAGTCTCCCGCTGTCAGAGTCTGATTCTCAGAACCTGGCTGACTGGTAAACTTTATTCCACTTACGACACACTATTTGCAGCAATGGTTTTCCATGTCTGCAGCTGCCTGGCAAGCAATGGCAGTCGATGCGCTTTCCTGTGTGTGCTTGTTTAGGAAGCTTCATTGTTACCCATAGTGTGTGGCTTTGGGTACTGGTGCCACATGACTGTTTAGAAATAGGGAAACCTTGTCAGAGTTTCATGTTTGCCATGTGGTAGCCATTAAGGGTGAAAGGCAGGCTGAGTTGGTAAGAGCACAATATGGTGTTGTAGAGCTGCCCGTATTGCTAGGAGAAACAGAGGTGGTATGAGCCCTCCATCACACCTGCAGGGCCAGGGTCTCCCTCCAGCACCCTGTGGGATAGCCCAGGCTGTGGGGCTGAGTGCCCTGTCACACTGGTAGTCTGCATCCACTCTGACCATGGCTGACTGTTCCATCGGTTTCTATAAACTCTCCAGCAAATATTTGGGAATACCAAACATATCTGCAGCAGCTATGATTCCTGTTTGCAAACTGTTTATTAACCAGTGTTTAAATTCACAGGGTATTCTGCTTTCAATAAATTAGTTGAGCCCTTCCAGTGGCAGTCTGGGAGCTGCTCTGTTTTACCTCCAAACTACAGCACATAGCCTTGCTCTATCTGTTAGACATGGGAAGATCCACAGTGATCCAAGGAGATGGAATGGTGTGAGCCAGGCTGTCTGCCCAGGGAGTCAGGGCTCAGCCCTGCCTCCTGTTTTTTGGCCTGGTCACTGCTGTGTGGGGTTACAGCACAGGGTTTTGGGGCACCCTGTCTGTCTCTGCCTGAAGCCACTCTCCAGCCAGGCCAATCCCAGGAACCAGGGTGCATTAGTGGTGAAGACTCACCTGCGAAGAAGGTGAATTGTATCATAGGACCCAGGACCCTTTCCTCAGGTGTGACTGACTGCCCAAGAGGGTCTACCCAGGGGAAGATGACTGTGCTCCATCTGTCACTACCCTCTCTGTGCAGCACCTGCTGCTGGTTGGTATGGGAGGCAGGATAGGGTCCAGGATATGACCTCCACCTCCCCTTTGAAAGTGTCTCTTGCCCACATCCCGCAGCAGCCAGGGAGAGCTGCAGTGTGCATGACCAGCAGGGTCAGATTCAGACAAGCAACCTGAATACTAGCCCTCCACCCATCTTCTCCCACCACAGGCAGCAGAGTGAAAAACACTAGTGAGTGATAAAGCCCCTTTGTGCTTCTTTCTGTTTTAAGGGGTATATGTTACATGAAGCAGAAGAGCTCCAGGAGATGAGATGGAGCTGCTCATCTCAAAAGCCAATGCTTCTGGGTTAGGGCAGCCCTTGGTTCAGATGTCTGAGCTGAAAGAGGGGGTGGGGTGTGAGGGATGGCAGCTGTGGCCTGAGCCCATTCTGGTGGGTGCTCTGCTCTGGGACAGTTAGCTGCTATAAAGGGTGGGGAGGCTCTGCTTCCTCCACCTGTAGTTGCTGGTTAGTGCCTAAAGCTGGCAGCAGTCTCCCCATGGGCAAATTTTCCCATCCAACTCCATCCAAATTTTTCTAAGGATAGAAAATGCTTCAACAGAGAATTCCCTCCTGTTTCCCTCTGCACAGCCACCAGTGCTGCCAGGCAAGAGGGAAACGTGGGCAGGGCCATCTAGCTCACTCTTTGCTTTTGTTTGCTCACAGGCAGAGACCTCTCTGTGGACATCACTGCTGCTGAAAGCTCCCTATCTGAAGGTGATACTTTACAGATAAATTGCATGGTAGGAGGCCAGAGGAGCAGCAGTAGGCACTTCCAAGTGCTTTGGCTCCTCGATGGTGTGGAAGTGGCCAGGCTTGACCCCCATGGGGTATTGACTTGGAAGGAAGAATATGAGGAGAGAGCCAAACTGGGGCAGCTCCAAGCATTCAAGCACAGCAACACAGTTTACATCCTCACCATCTATGAGGTGAGGCTGAAGGACAAGGGTATGTACCACTGCTCTGCTTCGGAGGTGAAGACTCCTGGAGACTTACACAGCATCCAAACCAAACTGTCATCGAGTATCCAAGTTGACGTGAAGCCAATAGGTTAGTAAATTCTAATGGTTGCTCCTTTGCGTAAAGCCTGCAGTAGGGAACACTTCACATCTGGCCTTATCTTGGCCAGAGGCAACATACCTACTGTTTGCAGCAAGAGCATAAATATACCATAGGTTTTGGTAGATAATGGGGAAAGCACTTGCTTTGAGAAACAGTGTGACAAATGCAGCAGCTGTCAACAAAGTGCAAAAAAGTGCTCAGTCTCTTTGCAATACGTTTTGGGGAACTTAGGCAGAGTTCTAGAGATGCTGGGTCCTCCTGTGTCTTTGGTACAGAAAATGGTGAGCAACACGTGTTGCTACCCCTAAAGATCACAGGATGACCCAGAAGAAGAGGTACTTCTGGATGGGGGAGATCATTGCAATTTCCAACAACGTTCTCTCCTGTTTTGGAGGGATGACTTGTGAGAAACCAGTCTAAGATGTGTTGGAACCTCTTGGTTTCCTTGTCGTAGCTAGATGATGTCTATTTGGATGTAGCAGATGAAAGGAAAGACAAGGAAAAAAACAAAACCAAAACCACAAAGCCCTCTCCAAAGGTATAAGAAAGGCTGGCTGAGAATTTTTGATAATTCCTTTCCTTTTCCAATATCAAGGTTTATCTAGTCTCTCCATTTAATGCCACAGTATCTCTGGCTTTTTCTGAGGAACACAGCAACGTCCCCTCCCACTCTAACTGTTGTTTGCAGAGAGCCGCATGCACCTGTCTGTGTCCACCAGCACACCACAAGTCGTGGCAGGAGATGCCTTGATCCTCCTTTGCGAGGTGCAAGGAGTGACCGGCACTGTGTCCGTGCAGTGGTGGCACCTGCCCCTGCAGCACCTGGGTCCCTGGGTGCTAGTGGCCACCATGTCACAGGACGGGACCCTGAGGCTGGGCAGCACCTACCAGGACAACAGGACTCGGGGGAGCCTCCAACTAGAGAAATCGAGCTCTGGCACTTTCACCCTGGTGATCCCCAACACATTGGATGAGAGTGATGGCGGATGGTACAGGTGCAAAGCGACGGAGTGGTCCCGAGGCCAGAGCTGGACAAAGGAGGGAGATACAACAGTGACAGTCAGATCCTTGGGTTAGTGGGGCCACCCCTATTTTTGGGCTTTCAAGCTGCACTTGCTGGAGGCAAGGCTGCAGAAGCAAGTGGGCACATATGGGCGGGACAGAGATCTGTGCTCTGAGCTCTGCTGCTGCTGCTTCAGGATGACCTGGGGCTGATCACTTGGTCCTGGAGTGCTTCAGTGTCCCCATTTCTAGCAGGATGCTCCAGTCCTCTGTGAGATGTTTTGGGAGAGGCAAGTGGCACACAACAGCTAAGCTGCCCAGGCACCCAAAAGGCAGTAGCTTGCTCAGCAGGTCTTCCTGACTGTCTCCTTAGCTTGAAATACAAATTATCTGTTCTAGTGGCATAATTATTGACACTAATGAAGATCAACAAAGGCACTTGCTGAGTTTTATGGTGGCTTTTGTCAGAGATACACCCCTGGTGCTAGCATCTGATGCCTTCTCCTGCTCCTGTCTGAGCACAGAGCTGCTAATATTCCTGGCATGCAATGCCCATGCCATTTCTTTTTTTGATTGATGGAATGGTCACCTTTATGGAGAGGCAACTTTTGGCTGTGATTTAGGCTGTTTTTCTTATTTCTGCACCAGGTGTCTGAGAGCACCAGCTGGGCCACAGGAGGTGTTAGGCTTTTGTGGAGGGTAAAAGAAGCAGGAAATGGTGCAGTAGTGTCAGAGGACCCCTGGATCCCTGCCCCAGGGGAGCCTGGAAGAGGGGGTATTCAGGGTTGTCTGGAGGCTGAGAGTTGGTGAGTGGGGGTCAAGATAGGAGAGGGCCAGGAGCTTGAAAAGCACAGTGCAGCTCAGGGGAAAGTGGCACTGGCAGGGACTGCTGGCTGCCATGGGGCTGCTGTGGCTGGGGCAGTGGGGACAGTGCTGCATGGGGAGGGTGGTGGTGAGGCATTCTGTCCCAGTTCCATGGGCTCTCTCCGTCCAAACAGGTCTTGGTCTGCATGCCACGCTGAGAAGCCGAATTGCCACTGTCAGATATGGGCAGAGCTTTGAACTTGTCTGCCAAGTCAGCGCCAACTACACCCTCGAGGAGGTGCCGGTGTCTGTGAGGTGGCTTTTCCAGCCCAGCCTGCCCACCAGCAGCTTCCAGGAGCTAGTCCGGGTCTTTCCCAGTGGTATACTGGCCTGGGGATCAGCACAGCCACGCTTCAAAGAGAAAGTCCAGCTGATGAGGACCACCACCTCCTTCACGCTACACATCCGCAATGCCGAGGCTGCTGACGAGGGGACTTTCCAGTGTGAGGTGGAGGTCTGGAGGAGGAACACCCTGCCACTTGGGCAGGCAGCAGCCACCACCAGCTCTAATCTCGTGGGGGTAAAGGTGATGCTGCCAGGTAAGCAGTGCCACAGGTGTTTCTTCAGCAGAGGTCTGTCCTGCAACTTTTAATTCATCAAACACATCCAGGGGCAGCCAGGACCACTGACAGCTGAGGTGTTCCCAGTGGCAGTCATTTCCCAGGCCACATGAGTTGGTGCAGTCTTTCCTGTTTCTTCCTCAGCACCCACAGCCCTGACAATGCTCTTGGAGGCAAACTAGGCATTGGGGGCTGGCAATGTCTGTTTGTTTGCAGATTATACCAAGCATATAGGGATCAGCCTTGCCACTAAGAATTTAAGCCTTGTTTCTGGAAGTAGTAGTCCCTCCACAAGGAGCCCAGTTGAATGTTGGGGTTGCAAGGTGCTTCCTGTAGTGTTTGTGGGGCTGGAAGGTGGTGGAGAAAGACTGGCCCCAAAGCTAGTGCTGGGATATGTCTGTATCCCCTTGAGCTTCCCCTGATGTGTTCAAGGTGCACTGAGAAAGTGCCAGGGCTCTCTGCTAGGCTGAGAGCCAGCACTGAGCTGTGAGGAGCTGGGGGTCTGATTGGAAGTGTCTCCTCCCAGGCACAGCTGGGCTACGAAGCCAGGGGGCCCTGCCCAGTGTTCCCTTTTATGGCCAGCTCTGCAGGCAAGGTCTGTGCCTGCCAGCATCACTCAAGGAGTCTCATCCTCTTATGGAAGAGAGATGTTGCAGACACTCTGCAGCCTCCCAGCCACCTCTCCATGTGTAGGTGGTGGAGAAAGACTGGCCCCAAAGCTAGTGCTGGGATATGTCTGTATCCCCTTGAGCTTCCCCTGATGTGTTCAAGGTGCACTGAGAAAGTGCCAGGGCTCTCTGCTAGGCTGAGAGCCAGCACTGAGCTGTGAGGAGCTGGGGGTCTGATTGGAAGTGTCTCCTCCCAGGCACAGCTGGGCTACGAAGCCAGGGGGCCCTGCCCAGTGTTCCCTTTTATGGCCAGCTCTGCAGGCAAGGTCTGTGCCTGCCAGCATCACTCAAGGAGTCTCATCCTCTTATGGAAGAGAGATGTTGCAGACACTCTGCAGCCTCCCCGCCACCTCTCCATGTGACTGGTCCCCACCAGCCCAGCAGCAGCGTGGTGGCAGCTTGCCCTACAGGCAGCTGGGGCTGCTGGAGGAACTGAAGGGGGGGTTGTCCCAGCCAAAACCTCTAAGCCTGTGGGCAGCATGTGTGAGAATGAGGTTTGGCTATTTCCCCCTGCCCCCCCTCATGTCATTTCTGTCAGCAAAGGAGAGTTCTTGCTCTTTTTTTTTTTTTTTTTTTTCCAGGCATTAAGTGCTCCTTCCTCTAATTCTTGGATTTTCAGGATCACAACCCAGTGAACTGAAATTATTAATTTTCCATGTTTTTTTAACGGATGGGTTTGCTGTAGCGTAAGCTGATACGAGCTGGAGAAGGGAAGGAAATGTTTCCATGGTGCTCTCCCTCCTGCTTGGCTGCTGCTCCTTCCTCACTGCTACAGAGCTGGGTGCTGGGGTGCTCAGTGTAACACCTGAGGTGCAGCCAGCTGGAGGTCTGCAAGGTGGTAACTGACTAGAGGTGAACAGACAATATCTGGGAACATGTTAGTAGTGTAAATGGCATTAAAATGAGCAACTGTTGTTGTAGAGCATCTATGAAGAGGAGACAGTAGCAGTGGGGCTGGGAGATATTATGACGTTTGGCTCCAAATGTATTGCAGCTGTGACTGGGTACTGTGATGCTGTAAAGATGGTGGGAGCTGGGAGGGGGTGAGGCACAGTGGGAAATGGCTGCTGGTTCTAGTACTTTCTCAGAAAAGCAGCAAGAGCTAGTGCAGGATATTTGGGAAGGCAGAGAAGTAAATCTGGGAAAAAAGCTGGCTCTAAGCAGCAATGGGATGAGATGAAGCTGCAGAAAATGAAGCTACAAATTGTGAAAATCACCCGCCTGTTTCTTCACATATAAAATCTTACAGTTGGAGCCTGCAGAGATGCTGGAGTTCTTGACTTTTGTTTTGGCACTTCGTTTGATGCTCTGTGTCAGTCGATGCTTTAGAAGTTTAAATGCCACTGTGGATCTGGCCTGTAGCTTCAGACAGGAGGGACATGTGTGAAATGTCTTTAAAGGAGGGGAAGGAGGACAGGTCTTTTCCATGTCCAACTTCTTAGGTAGTTCAGCATCTGGGTGAGGGTGCTCCCATCAGCATTTCAGTGCAGCTGCCTGCAGGGGCCTCCCTTGGCTTCAGAGCAAGCCATGGGGGGCTTTGCCCCCATCCACCCCTCCAGCCAGCCCATCTGCCTGCTTGGTTTGCTGTGGCAGCTGTGTCTTCTGCCTGCTCCACTGGTCCTGGGCCCGGCAGAAAGTGCAGTGTCAGCAGGCAGGATTCACACTGGGTTGGGCAGCGAGAGGCTCAGCTTGATTAATTAAATTGAAAATGAAAGGGAAAACAGCACCATCTCTCTCTGTGCCGAAGGAAAAGGCAGGTAGCTGCTTTGCCCTTTTTGGTAATTGATCTTCAGCGATAGCGAGAGGAGACCTGGAGCTCAAACAAAGGGGCTTTGCAGCAAATGCTCTGCTTCTGCCCCAGTGAGCATCAGGCTGGGCCATACTTAAGTGAGAAGTCTCCACACCCCAGGCAGTTTGCTTTCTCTTGTGCTGGCAGCTTCTCTGGGTTTGGGGAAAGGTCCTGGGTTTTACCTGCCTGTCCCTGACTGCAGCAGCACTGCTGGGAGGAGCTCACTTGAAGGGAGGTGCACGTTTTGGTCCAGCGTGGCCCCACAGCTGACTTTCCTGAAGCTCCTTTTTGCTGGGAGAGGTGGCGGAGCTGCTTGCGATGAGCAGGGAGGCTGCTGTGCTGACATGTTCTACCCAGCAGCTGCAGCTGGGGAAGGCACATCTGTGTATCTGACACAGGAAGGTTGTCCCTGGTGTGCACCACCTCCCCTGGTTTTGCCCGTTCCTCTCCTGTGACCTTTATAGTAGGAGAAAAGTCTCCTGTTGAAATACCTGGGAGTATTTATTATTTTTTTTTTCCCTATGATAGAATTCACTTCTTGGTCCCTGAATAAAGCTCCTGGATTTTAGCAGCCTGGCTGAGTGATATTCCTCTGTACTGAGCAGCTGAAGTTAAGAACCAAGGGTCTTATTCTTTCCATCTCATCTGTCACAGAAACAGAGTGGTTGAGGTTGACAGGGACCACTGGAGGTCATCTGGTCCAACCCTCCTGCTCAAGCAAGGCCACCTAGAGCAGGTTGTCCAGGACTGTCTCCAGACAGCTTTTGAATATCTCCAGTGCCCCTCTCCAAAGATTTGTACTTCCTTAGAACTGGTTCTGGGCTGGGTATGCTTCTAAGTACTGAAGTTGGAATACATCAACTTGCATTTGGTTCCTAAGTGCACTTCCACCTGCTTGATCTCTGCGTGCATACATCTGATGAATTTGCTTGGTTTCCTACTTAGGGTGATTCCTTTCTCATTTCTTCTGCTTCTTGCCCTTACCTGTTTCTTCAGAGCAACAAATGTGCACTGTAAAATGCAGGACTAGACTTTGTTGATCCCTTGAGAGCGGCCACCTCACAGACCTCTTGGTGATTGTTACTGCTGAAATAATCACCACTGAGGTGAGGCATGAGCAGATACTGGGACATGTGCAAGTCCCACTGTGGAGGAAGCTGTCAACCTTTTGGTGAAGGTGTGTCTGTATGCAATGTGGAGATAAGAAGGAGGAAGTGAAGTAGGGTGCAGAGAGAAAAAATAGCAGTATAAGTGGACATGAGTAGGGAGATTTTGTTGACTAGAAACAGAGGCAGAGGCAATTTGCAGGGATGTCAAGAGCCATCAGTTGGCATATTTCACATTGACTGGTCTCAAGAGAGACAGTGAGGGCCTCTGAAGTGGCTTGTTTGAGTTTTGAGAAGAAATGCTTGAAGGAAAGGGAAATGCATGGGCTTTGTCCTGTGGTGTGTCTCTTTCCCACCAACTCCTGCAGTAGAAACTGCAGTTTCCTGCTGGTCCACAGGCTCATCCCTAACCTGCTGCTGCTGCATCCCTTGGGAAGGTGCTGTGGAGGAGAGCACCCTGCTCAGCCTGTGGCCAAGGACTGGGGGCTGAGACAGTGGTGGTGGGGAGTATCTCAGTTTGTCCTCTGCAGTGCATCCCCAAACCATCACCCAGGGGTTGAGCTGAAGAGAGAGCTTGGTTGCCCCAAGCCTCTGCAACACAGGGCATTCCACTGCTCAGCATGTGTGCAAGGAAAATGCTAAGAATGGAAACTCAGCCTACAGTCCCTTACAACCCTGGTGGTGTCTCATGCTGAGTAATTTCTGTCTACTCATGGATAGAGATTTGTGTGTGGGACTGTTAGCCTCGTCTAACAGAGGTGGTGTCTCAGCAGGGAGGAAACTCAGGTGGTTGGAGGCCCTTGAAACATGCTGGTTTGCAGCCTTTCCACTTCTGGAGGAGAAGGAAAGATGCCAGCAACTGGTGATGTGTGGCTGGAAGGGGGTCCCTCAAGCCAGGAGCAGTACAGGTGCATCAGGAGCAACCATGTACCCTGCCAGGGAGGCAGAGCTGCCAGCAGCACCGCAGGTCTCCTCTGTTGAACTGCTCAGCGCTAGAGCGAACTATTGCTGGGTGTAATCACGGCAGATGTTAGGGACTGTGTTATGTGGGTTCCAGTCAATAACCACAGCAAACACATGAGATGACGACGGTTACTGAAACCCACACAGGCTCTGTAGTCTCTCTCAGATAAAAGACACTTGTTCACAGTCTCCAAAGCTGTGGGTTGGTTTTGTCATTTATGCATAACTGACTGCTGATAGAAGCAGTGGTAGACAGGTGCATTTGCTTCAGACAGAAACTTTGCCTCCAAGCTCCAGCACAGTGGCTGCCTCAATTGCTCTCTTCCTGCCCCATAGTCCTGATGCCTCCTCTGCCCACTAGCACCCAGTGATTCCCTGCCACAGTTCAAATAAGGATGTGTGAATTTGCTTTTTCCCTCCTTCCCTTACCTCTCCTGCTCCAGTGTCCCTAGTGGGTCTTTGCTCTCTGAGCATCCTCCTCCTTCCTCCTCTTTTGGTGGATGCCTCAGGCAAGCTTACTCCTCTCCTTGCCAGCATCCCTGTATTGGCACCTGCAACCAGTATGATTATTTTCTTTCTCCATTTCAGAAAGCAAGCTTCAGGTAGCTATGCAAGAGAGCTCTGTGGAGATTGCTGATGGTGCTGACACAGCCATTGAGTGCAGGATCCTGTTTGCCCCCAATAATTCTCAGTTTGCCGTTACCTGGTACCTCCTACCTCCTGCTCCTGCAGATGAAAACCCCTTGCAAATCATAAGGGCTGATTACAGCAGCATACTGGAATATGGGGCTGAGTTCAGCTCTCCTGCACAGAAGTCCCGGTTCCTGAGCCACAGGGTATCCAGCACTGTTTTCTGGCTGCACATACTCTCTACAAATGCTGGGGACCAGGGCAGGTACTACTGTGTTGTAGAGGAATGGCTGTGGCTGGTGGACAGCTGGTACAAACTTGGAGAGGGAGCATCAGGAAGGACCACGCTGAAATTCAAGCTCCCAGGTGAGGAGGTGGTTATTTCTTGTATAGGTGCCTCTGGGGATGGTTGGATCAGTTTATGACAGGGGCCCCACCAGGCCTCTCCTAAGCTGGTAGGGATTAGGAGAAGCAGGGGCTCCTGCACTGAATCTGAGGCTGACAGATGAAAGGGATGTCAGTGCCTCTCAAAGGGAACAGGGAATTAGGAGGATTTACCATATTCTCCCAAATCAACCAAGCTGGCATATTTGCCACCAGCAGACGATATCTAATGCTTCATAACAAAGTGGATCGTGGCATTTTCTTTTCCCTCCAGCACCTGATGTGCTTGGTTGGTTATACAGTGCTGTAAATATAGAGAAGAAGCCCTTTCTTGGTACTACTTAGCATCCTAAAGCAAGATGCTCAGTTTTCCTTACCCTGCAGCACGTTGCTGCTGAGAATAAGACTGAAGGCTCAGCTGCTCCCACCTTGGGCACCACACTGTTGGGGTGTATGGTGGGTCTCCTGTGCTCAGCTCTTCCCTTACTCACCTCATTTGGCCTATGGGTTGTAGCCCTAAATAAAGGGGATCAGAGAATTCCAGCCTCATAAATAGCTTCTGGTCCAAAGGATGCCTCATCACTTACTTGGAGGACGTGGGAAGTATTACAATAGAGAGCTGTGAACAGGGGACAGAGATTATGAGGAGGGTGAACCACCCTGGGAAGAATGAGTCACAGAAGCAAGGGTGGGTGGGTGTCCTTCAGAGGCTCTTGCAAGAAGGCACCCCAATCCCCTACACTTTGCTCCAGAAGGTTTCTGTCAGCCTGTGCATGCAGGCAGGAGCATTTCTCTGGCAGTGCAATGCTGCAACATCTCTTTGTGCTTGCATCCCCCCCACTCAGGGCATGAACTGCAGCTGGAGAAAACCAACCACAACATTTCAGCGAGGGAGGGTGAGGAGGTGACACTGCCCTGCCTGCTGCAGGGTGCTCGTCTGCCTGCCGCCCGCCTCTCTGCCACCTGGTTTCGGGAGAGGAGTGGCCACACCAGGCCCCTGCTCACCCTTCAGCACAACGGTGCCATCGAGTACCCCTGGGAGAGCCTTGCCAGGAGGATGCACCTGCGCCGTCCCACCCCTGGCGACTTCAGCCTCACGCTGCAGAGAGTGGAGGAGGAAGATGCTGGGATGTATCACTGCCAGGTGCAGGAGTGGCAGCAGCAGAGCGAGGGGAAGGACGAGGCTCTGCAAGCCTCGGGGCGCTCAGGGTACATCCAGCTCACTACTATCCTGCCAGGTAATGCTGCTGGGTGTGAGGGGCTGCTCACCCCCAGCCTGTTCCCCCTCTGCTGTGCTGGGATATGTGAGAGGAATAATGGCAGCTCTCAGCTATAATGCTGGCTGCAATGGTGAGGATGCAGCGGGGCTGGGAGGATTTGCTGAGTGGTTGCAGAGGGCGTCAGTGCTGGGAAGGTCACCAGAGTGGTGTTGGGAGCCAGGGAAGGGAGGGGGGAGCCCTTTGAGGGATGCATGGCATGCCTCCCCCACTGGCACCAATGAGGCCCCTTTCCCAATCCCATTGATCTGCCAAGACTGGAACCCAGGTGCTTGTCATTGTAAGTGTTGGGAGGTGGACAGATGAGATACCAAGACCTGCCACTGTGAGGCAAAGATAGAGCTGGATTCTGCATACAGAATTTTAAAACAATAAAAGCAAAGCCAGGCACACACTGTTTTTGGGGAAGTAACAGGCAGGAAAAAAAAGTCCTTTCTTGTTGTCTCTTTGGGGAAATAGGAGGTTGAGATGACCCATGTGGAGGAAAAAACATGAACCGTGAAATCGATCATGTTGTGCCCAGCTGAAAGGATCCTGCAGTTTTCTTGTGCCTTCAGCCCTGGAGTTGCCATGCCCATGGCCAGCCTGGGAGCCTACATGTGGTTATAGGTTCTGCAGCAATTACCAATGCTGACCAAATATGGGAGAGCTCAGGAGACACCACCTTGTGGAGCCAACCCTTGTGCCTCCTACTAGTGCAGGCAAGCCCAGAGCCTACTTGCATGACCCTGCACCTACAGTAGAGCTAATCTGGATTTAAGTGCACAGGGAGGGACTGACAGCACTTCATTTCCCTGCTGTTATGCTCCTGCTGATGTCCATCATAGCTCCTTCATTTCTCCTTCATCAGCTCCCTCTGTCTCTTGTTACTGGTGGAGTAACTATTGCTCAAATTGCCCAGTAACTGCTGGAAAATTCTCCTCCAATTTTTGTGTGACTGTTTTTGCCAAGTGGTTTTCACAAAATCCAAGAGATTATCTGAGTGTATTTTGTTTCTCTCTCTCATTTTTTATTTATTTTTAAAATGTTTCCCCAGGAGTAACTTCAGCTCTAATCCCTGATGCTGACCTTTAGGATGCCACTCTAGTACTATAGAGGCATTCAGGTAGTGAAGACTTCTCCCTGTTTTCCTATGGGAGAGTAAGTGCTGCTTCCGTCTGTATGGATGGGACACAAGGCTTCAGAGAGTAGAGAGGTAAAAGCTGGTTTCACAGCTAGGAGTAGCCCCTGGGTTGGTTCATCCCCAGGATCACACCTAGCCCACCAGGCTGTTTGGGGCCCCCATGGACAGCTTCAAATTAGCAGACCTGCATGCTCAGCATGGTACTACAGAGCAAGTGTAAAACATGGGTCTTGAGTGAAGAGAAATGAGGAACAGCACTTTGAGGTGGATAAAACAGACCCAAAGGAGCTGGCATGACCCTTCATGGTAGGCCAGGAGCACCTGAGGTCAGTCTGTGGTGTTGAAGCTCCGTATCAAGTGAAGAGATTTTGATGGCCCAGATTAATGGGTGGCTGTAAGGAGCCCAGGGCAAAAATGGAGAGGCTGCAAAGCAGAGCTTTTCAGCTAGCATGGGACTGATCAAACATGGTTTTCTGAAGCACCCAGAGGGTCCACCAGCAGTACAGTACCTCATCTGGGGAGCTGTTCTGCAGGAGCTGCCTGGGGTGGGGATGAGGCTTGCAGCTGCCTGCCTTAAGTGTGGCTGAAATGGGATAGCAGGGCAGCAGACGCAAGGAGGTGAAAGCGTATGTGGGTGACAGGGACCTTATTGATCTGGTTTCCTCTGCTTTCCTCTTGTCCCTCCTTGTTCAGCGGTGCAGCCTCTGACAGACCTGTACCTCACCCTGCTGTTTCTGTTGGGATGTTCCAGCTGAATGAGCTGAGACCCTGTCTGACCTACCAAAACAAGAAATTATCTGTTTTCTCTCCCTCTTCTCCTCAGGTAGCCTGTATAAGTTCTTAAAAATCTGTAGCTGTTGAAGAATGAGGGAACTGTGTTAGGAATGTAACCTACAGAAGCAGCAGGAGAGAAACTCAAACTGGCTGGGGACCTCACTTCTTTCTTTCTTTTTTCCTCAGAGTCAACTGTTATGTCTAGGATCTGTTCATCCCCATCACTGCTGAACTTTATCCTCTACTTACCACTGGTTCTGGTCCTTCTCCTGGTCCTTGCTGTCGTCTTCTGGTGCTTCAAATTCAACAAAAGCAAGAAGAGCTATGCCACAGGAGACCAGCTGTTGGAACTTAGCTGATCTACAATGGCAGATGTAACTTGAAGGAGTGGAGCTGGACAGCTGAGGGGGACTGAGTGCTTGCAGAGAGCCTTTTCCTTGTTTTGTAGTAGCTTTTGCAAAGAATCCTTGAAATTGTATATTTACTTTCAGTGGAGCCAAGCAACTTTGAATTACTAAGCAAATTGTTTTCATAACAGATGTTCCTGTCTCCTAGGTTACCCACCACCTAGGTACCCACCCATTTCACACACTGTTCACTGTGGTATATTTGAGGTCTTTGCAGTGTGTTTCCCCCACTGCAGACAGAAGTGGTGTTACTCCTCTACAGATATAAGGGGAAAAAAACAACTCTTTTTGCAATGTGACTCAAAAGTACCACGTTGCTACTAAATTTAGGTGACTTGAAAAAACTCTCATGTGAGGGCTAATAACCAGTGGCAAAGCTGGAAATGGAGTATTGGTGCTGCCTTTGCCCATCCTTTGCTGGGGAAATTCTCCCCCTCTGCTCTTGTGAGACCCCACCTGCAGTACTGTGTCCAGTTCTGGAGCCCCAGCACAAGAAGGACATGGAGCTGTTGGAGCAAGTCCAGAGCAGGGCCATTAAGATGATCAGAGGGCTGGAGCACCTCTCCTGTGAAGGCAGGTTGAGAAAGTTTGGGGTTGTTCAGCCTGGAGAAGGGAAGGTTCCAGGGAGACTTCATAGCCTTCCAGTACCTGAAGAGGGGTTTACAGAAAAGCTGGGGAGGGACATTTTACAAGGGCATGTAGCAAGAAGACAATGGGTAATGGCTTAAAGCTGGAAGAGGGGAGATTTGGATTAGACGTTAGGAGGAAATTCTTCACTGTGAGGGTGGTGAGACACTGGAACAGGTTGCCCAGAGAAACTGTGGATGCTGCATCCCTGGAAGTGTTAAAGGCCAGATTGGATGGGGCTTTGAGCAACCTGGTCTAGTGAGAGGTGTCCCTGCCCATGGAACTAGATGATCTTCAAGGGTCCTTCCAACCCAAAGCATTCTATGTTTCTATGAAGCTCTCACTGCTGTCCTCTCATTCTGAGAGCACCTGTACCTAAAGAGCATCTTCTCCAAAGGGAAATGAGTCTTAATCACAAAACCTGTCAGAGGATGACAGAGCAAGTCTGGCTGGGGCTGGGGAAAGTCCATAGCAGGGATATCACTGTCATCCACAGATAATTAATCATGTTGACCCAATAAGAGACTCATATGGAGTCTTGTATCCCAGCAGGAACAAGTGGACACCAAGCCATCTTATACATGAGTGTAGAAAGACTTTCCAGCTTCTTCCTTTTCTGGGACTGCTGAAGGAGAAGGCAGCATCCAACCTCTCAAGCCAAGGCTGTCTGTGGGTCAGGAAACTGCACAGCTGGGACCTAGTACTAGGTACCTCCAGGTTGTACCATGTAATAAAAAAAGCTGTGTGTGTGGTTGTGGGGCAGCTCCTCTATGCACTGGGATCCAGCTCAGGCTCACCTTTTCCAGGCTAAGGAGTTCTGATACCTGAAGGCTGTCTGGCAGATGCATTAGTATAAAGGAGATTTCAATCTAGTCCCTATAAGCCAAGGGACACTCAGCCCCTAATTGTGCAAAATGGGATGTGGTCCCAATGAGCTGAAAGGTCAGGCATCAGAGTAACACTCAAAGCACCATGTTCAGACAAAAGCAGCCATATGGAAATAATGGCAGATGTTTATGAACCTGCTTCCTTTGACCAGAGGAAGGGTTGGGAGACACCACGGCCCCTCTAGATAGTCTGATCAAGTTCTTCACTTTCCTAGCAATTTGTAAATCTGACTGCCCTGTATCCTGAGGAACTGGGGGGTGCTTCAGTCTCTTTTCTCCTTGAAAGAACACTTTTTGCACAAGTTTGAAGGCTACTGCTCTTGATTCCTTGGCCAGCCACCTGTGTCTGTATGGGCTGGCTCCAGCTTGCTCAGCCTTTCCCTGCAAGTTATGTTATTCTGGACCCTATGCAGCTTTTCCCTTTGCTTCCCTGACCCCAGCTGTCTCTCCCATGGTGTGAGTGCTCAAAGCCACACATGGGGCTCTCTGCAGAGGTCTCCCCCCTGCCTTGTGGGTTATGTCTTGTTTACACATCTCAGTAGGATGTTTGATTTCCTCTGTGTGTGTGACAGCACGGCACTGTTTGTGCTTGGCTCGCCATCAGCAGGCTCCTCTCCTGCAGATTTGCTGTCTAGCAAGTTGTTTTTCCACTGTGTGTTCAGACTGTTGACTTTTCCTATCTAATTGAAGCACCATTTGCATGGATCTGTTGAACAGCTTTCTGCACCAGTTTGCAAAGGATCCTGCTGTCTGTTTGCCTGAGTCCTGTCTCGATAATGCTTTAACTCATGGACCAGTTTCAGTCTGTTTTGACAGAGAAGCAGATGCTCCCAGGACATTAAACTCCTACAGGTTTCATAAAAAGCCATAGCTGGATGAAGGAGAAGAGGCAGGTGAGCCATCCCACCAAGGGAAGGCTGCAGTGTGAGTTGCCTGACAGCCAGCTTTGAGTTAGCCATATGCTGGCTGCCTGGTGTCTGGCTTGTAATTAGGGGACATAGAAAGGAGATGTAGGTGTGTTAGTGTATGGGAAAGGAAGGAACTATTTGGGACCATAAGCTGAACAGTTCACCTGTGCACATAGTGCAATCTACCAGTTTCATGTCGTCCCTCTGTATTTTTGTTTGGATTGTTTCCTTAGCTTACTCGTGAGAGTACCTTGGGAGCACACTTCACAAGCCTTGGAAAGGCAAGAACACAGGATGCCTCCTGCTTACCCCTTCCCGTATGGCTTACAGCCCTCTTACAAGGAGATGAGATAGGTCTGACATGTTCTGTTCTTGTTTAAAACGAAACAAAGAAAGCTTTTTGTTCTTGCATTCTTCTAGGTGACTCTAAGTTCTTTGCTCCCGTGTCTCCCTGAGAACTGCATTTAAGAAGATTTGTTTGTTCATTTTGCCCTTTTCTTGTCACTCGGTGTCTCACATCTCTTCAGGTGTTACTGCAGCAAACCACTAGCAGACAGCTTGACAGCCCATCTTTTGCATGTCTTAAGCTGAACCTCATCATGATGAGCCTTCTGCTCAAAAACCTAACTTAGGTTGCTGCTCATTCCCAGAGTGTTGGGATGGTGGAGTGGAACTGCCCCTACGCTGCTGCAGTGGTCACATGTGTGGGTCATTCTCTATGAATTGTGTGAGCTGTATGAGTGACCTGTCTGGGTCTGGCTCATTCTCTGAGGCCATAATGGATCTCTGTTGCAGGTCTGTGGAGGTGTCTTTGCTGCCACCTGACCTTTTTAAAGCTGCAGACTCTACTGCAACGCAAGATTTTATGTCTGGTGGACTAGGGAAAGAAGATGGTTAAGAGAGGGAGATTTCTCCATCAGTAGGACACCACCTTCTCTGTCTTGTTTTCACTCAGTAAACCAGAAGCCTATGTCAGTAGCAGCTTTCTATTCATGCAAGTTTAGAAATTTTAATTTAGGTTTGTAAAGTGTGCCTAGGGCCTTGGCAAAAGGGTCTGTGAGAAGAATGTGTGTTTTTGTAATGGTGGGGTGTTTTTTTCTGTTTGTTTTTTTGGGTTAGCTGGATCACTGCCAAACCTTTTGGCTATATTTTTTTTAAGATTTATATTTTTCCATGGGTGAACTTAGAGTTGTAACTTATCACAGCAAAAGCTGCAAGCAGTTCTATTTTTAAAGTTTAAAACACTTCACTAGGCAGAGGTAAATGTATGAGAGCAAGAGAGGCGTGTGTATGGTGGGTCAGGGGATGGTGGTGTTTTTGCTGCCGGGGCTCTTGGTCACCCTCACCCAACCCCATTGCCACCTTTTGTCCAAGTCCAGCCTCTGATGTAAATTAGAACAGCTAATAAAATATATATGTAGCTGTTATAGCCCCGTGGGGGAAAACAGTACAATAGTGTGGAGACTGCAGCACGGCAGTGCCCATGTTGCTCCCTATCCCTCAGATGTGCCCTTGCCCAGGGAACCTCCTGTGTAGGCAGTGTTTGCTGGGTCCAGGGTCTTTTCAGAGGTTTCAAAGCAGCTTGAAGGGGCTACAGCACAATGCAAGGCTGGGCACAAAAGGAATTAATCCTCTGGAAAGTGGTTGCACAGGGCTATAGAAACACAGGAGCTGCCTGGTGCTTTTGTGTTTCCCTAGGAAGGTATGGAAACTGTAAGGTAAGGGGAGAGCAGCACTGCTTCCCAGGTGAGCCAGCACTACCCTGCAGCTTGGCAGACCCTCATTCTTCAGAAGATGGGTGATGTAAGGGTGGGACAGGTGGGAATATAAGCCCTGCATTGTGTTGCCTTCCTGGAATGCTTTTATGGCACCTTCCTTTGGGCAGGAGCAAGGCCAGTGCTTGGTGACTGCCAGGGTTGGCATCTCACCCAACATGCAGAGGGACAAAGGATGGCACCACTGATTCACCTAAAGATGGGTGCATTGAGGACTTTTTGCTGCAAGGCTCTTCTGTCCTGTGAGGAGGGAGAGTGGGTGATAAGTTAGTTGCTGTGCAGGAGAAGTGGGAAATGGCTTGCAAGCAGGGAGGTTCTTGGCATCCCCTGGCAACCAATGGCTCAGGGTTCCCTGGCCCTGGGAGCAGAGGGCACAGCAGCAGCGTGCTGTCCTGTACTGCCAGGGCAAGGTTGTTGAGGAAGGTTGCCAAAGTTGAAATAAATGCTTCAAAAAGTTATTTGGAGTTCTGGGATGTCACCTTTCAAGCAGCATCTCTTAATTCCTTCCTGTTAATTCTGAGTTGGTTGTGAAATTTGTCATTCAGTTTTCTTCCTGTGGTAAAATATTTTAAAACTGGAAATAAAAGATTCAGTTTTGATATGTGCTTTGGTCTCACTTGATGCCACTTTGCATTACAGCTGGTTCTTGCAGCCTCTGCTGGTTTTGTGTGTCCTTCAGCCTTGGTCTTTGGCACCTAAGAGAAAGCAGAACTGCTGCTAGGACCCTAAACTTTCCTTAACTACTAAGAAACTGC